TAGGGGTGGTAGTGGTTGAGGTTCTGGCTCTGGCTCCGGTTCTGGCTCTGGCTCCGGTTCTGGCTCTGGCTCCGGTTCTGGCTCTGGCTCCGGTTTTGGCTCTGGCTCTGGCTCCGGCTGTGGTAGCGGTTCTGGCTCTGGTTCTGGATATAGTTTTGAAATCTCCTCCTTAGGTTCAATAGGCACTTGAGGAGCCTCAGTTGCGGGTGGTGAAGGGGCAAGTGGTGGGATAACTACAGGTCGTGCCACAACTGGTGGTGATTGGACTGCCGGTGGTTGATTACCCGTACCTAGTGGAGGAGAAACTACTGCTGGTGGTTGAGTGGCAGCTGAAACGGGTGGTTGGGTGACAACGGCAACAGGTCTAACAGGACGCGGCCGACCTAGCGTCGGTAAAGGCCGTAGCCGACGTACGTTTGGGGTATAACCATCTTGAGCTATTACTGTAAAATGAAAGAAAACACTTGAATGCATTTTTAAAAGGAACATATAAAATATTTTAGTAATAAGTTATGAACATAAAGATATAATAATTTAATATAAGAAGTTATTAAATAGCTAGTATAGTACACTTACCACTTATTAGCAATGGAAGTAGAAACAAGAGCGTAAACCGAAGCATCTTTAATAAATTGTATATTCCGTGGTGTTTGTAGTTAAACAGCAAACACCTCAATGTAACAGTACGGGTAATTTTCTCGCTTATAAGTGATTGTTAGGGTATAAAATCAATTAATAATGAGTACATTTAGTACTCATGATCAAATCAAAATCAATTAATAATGAGTACTTACATTTACTTCTCATTATTAATTGATTTTATACCCTAAAAATCACTAACTGATTTTGTTACTTATTGATGTAATTGTAATTTTTAAGTAATGCAACATAAAAATGTAATCACATAATTAACAATTATTTAGTAATTACTTAAATTTCATGTAGTATGAGTAACTTGTTAGTAACTAGCTTTTGCCCGTGGCTCCGTCCGCGTGTATGTCAGGTATCGCGGTAAAAAGGAGGATGGAGAGCTATCTCAAGGATAATATACCTTTCTTACAGTGAAAGAATTTTCAAAATCAGATCAGTAGTAGCGGAGATTACCCCGAACATACAAACTCACAAACTTTTCCTCTCTATAATATTAGTATAGAATGTGTTATCAACGTAAATTGTGACTGATGTAAAAATATCACAGCAAGAAAAATCAGTTTCTCACTAATCGTTTATGTATCCAGGTTGAATTAAACGTTGGTGATGGATGTATAAATACAATCAAGTGACCGAGTGTTGTCTCTCCGGAAATGGGGAAAGGCAGTTGTTTATGAATGAGTATGTACCTATGTAAAAATATAAAATTAACATTTCACGATTATATTTATCTTAAAGGCATGAACCAAAAAGCAACCAAATGTAAGATTAGATCTTGCAATCTGACATTTTAAATTTTATGTCAGTTTTCTGAATCCCTGATGTGGTTGGCGGTGAAACCATCTCCTCATAATTCTTTTTTTTTTGAATAACAACTTTCTTTCTTTTTAAAAAGACAACTCCCGCCCTATTTATAAAGTCCCCCATGACAGAGGATTATTCCTAATGATCCAGTGTCGCGGTGAACTTTATAAATATTCATGAAATGGACACAGAGAACACCTGTGAGTCTGGACTCAGAACAACAATTTGTGTACTACACAAAGTGTTGTCCGATGTCGAGTCAAATCCACAACACTTAGCGCAGCAGAAAGCAACGAGGTGACCGTTTAAACCCCTACGCCATCCGTGCAGTCCCCCAGTATTATCCTCACTCACACTTGGGATGTATTAAAGCAAATAATATAATTATTATAGATGATTACTAAAATGCACGACTACATAAGTATATGCGTAAAAGAGAATTTCTACTTTTTCAGAAGCATTTTGTTAAATAATACAACAATTATAATACATCACATCAGGGCTTTAATCCTGCTATTTTACGTTAACGTACAAACCACTTTCATTCCATTAGCACGCTATTGAGATGCCATTGAAGTCGGTAAATATATCGGTATGCTACTAACATAAATTCACAGTGTCAATAGGCTATCAATGTAGTGACAATGGCTCATCAATGGTGATATCAACAACATTGCCATATCTAGAAAATTAAATATATCATTTCCTTACAAATTTGAAATGCACCTACCTTAAAACGATATAAAACGCCTCGACGCCTTCCATCTAAAATGTCTCCGAGCTATACTCCATGTACGCTGACAACATCGGGTTCCCAACACGGAGATTTTTCGTCGAACAGGTTTAGCGAGCATGGAAAGCCTTCTAATGTAGGGTCAGCTGCGTTGGTGCAGGCACCTTGTGCATATGGGATCTTCCAGATTGCCAATAGCTGTTTTTTACTCGGTGATCAGCTCAGGTAAACGCCGCTCGTCGCCTTTGACGGATACGTCTGGAAGAACATCATTAGTGGCAGTTCAGTGACAAGTCATCATGGTCTTACATAGTTAGTAGAATACCAAAAGTGCAAAACTATTCCGACGACAGTCCATCGATAGTCTATTGATATAATATTAAAATCGCACAGATGAGGCCCAGGATGTATTACTTTAAATATTTATGTAAACATAATTTAAGACGTATATACACAGAAACAACATGATGTTGCAATAATTATCACAAAACTAAAATTAGGTTGTAGTTATTGCTTCATTCAAAGTTCTTAAACTTCTTATTTATACGGCAACATTTCTGGTAAATAGGCCTTTGTCTTTGCCTAAATTTTGACTATTTTGTAAAATTAATATTAGGAATATCGCTCATCAAGGCTAGTAATTCTGCGAAAAATTAACTGTTGAACTACTACATTTCTTTACAAACCCCCACTCTAACCGAAAGTGATCAACTGTGAGTAATTGAGAATTTAAGGTCGTCGTCGTCGAAAGTCTAAGTCTTGGGTTTTATTATCTCCCTTGTGGCTGGAATTTTATAAATTAGACTTCACCATCCATTTTCACTCACTTCAACTAAATGAATTGATGTCCAAATTAAATAATAGATTTTTTCTAAACCAGTTTTTAATTGGTATTTAATATTTAAGAATTTAAAACAGTTTCAATTATTTAATGTTGTCCTTACTATGGCATAGAGAGCAAAAGAGCAGGCGGGTCACCGATAAGTTACTACCACCGCACATAAACACCTGGCAACTCAAGAATCACAAGGGCGTTGCCGCCTTTTTAGTAACCCAAGAACCAGGGACGAAGTTTGGGCTCCGATAAACCCAATATTACCCTGTGAAGCCGTGGTATCGCTCCAGTAGAGACAGATTTAGCAAGAGGAAAGCAGAACTGTACATTTTGTAGTCGAACTCGAAAACTTTTTTATCTTATTTAGTCAAAGATCTTCTAAGCCTTAGAAGACCTTTTATCAAATATGGTAAAGTACTCATTAGGTATATTTAAGGAGTTTTTTTTTAAGTAGTTGACACCGTGAACCTGAACGTCAGCCAATGATTCATAGATGGCTGAACCGATTTCAAGTTTCTTTTTGTACACAAACTTTGGTTACAACTGGTTAATGATGGAATCTGAAGAAACAGATAAAAGTCTTCAAAACTTATAGTACCTATATATTCATTTGGGTATTATGACCAAATACACAAGTAACTTCTAATTATTTTTATAGTTTTGTGTGTTTGCTCAAGTTATTATTAAATTAAGTATTTACTCGAAATAAAACAAATCATATAGGCGGCTTGAAGTTAGTTTATATAATATACTAGCTGTACCCTGCTACACTTAGCTGTGACACATTGTGTGTGCATTGGTTCCTTTGCGTTGCATTGATGAGAAAGGAGATAATAAGAATCTATTGAGCGGGTTTTATGCCGTGTCCGAATTTGAGCTCAATCGATACAAAAGTTTTTGAATTCTTGAAGCGTACACAAGATGACATAAAAATTTTTAATAATAAAGATATGTATGTAATATGTTCTTATAATTTTCATACTTTAATACAGAGATTGACCCTTTTTAAACACATTTAATAATATTATATTATATTTTATTATAAAGTCTTTATATTTATTATTAAAGACTATTCACTTATAATAGAATGAGTAACTAGTTGAACACACGAAACACGTTTTGTATGTTTCCGTCTTTTATTAAAATACATAGTAGCTGTTATTTACAGTTTCGCCTGCGTTCATTGTGACTGCTCTGCACGTAAGGTTCGTTGCGTGGTGGTACATCACCTATAACCTTTCTAAAAAATACTTCATCCAATAGAAAAATAATTCTTCGAAGCCTAATGATAGTTCCTGATTAGCGTATTTAAATAAACAAAACAAATCAAAAAGAGAAAAGAGGCAAAAAGAAACGTCTTACAGCACAAATCAAGAAATAATTCCAAAAAATAAAAAAGTTGAAAATTAAGACAAATTTTGGTACTTACAAATTTTCGCGAAAATCTACGTAAGATCTGGGTAGGTACGGAACCCTCGGCGCACGAGTTCGACTCGTACCTGACCGGTTTTTTTTCTTGTTTGCTTGTTTAGAGTTGATGCGCCAGTGAATTCTAAATCCCATATTCGAACTCACAAAACGAAGTACATTAACGAAGCAGGGTTCTCACTCCAAACACTCTATGACTCCTCGAAGAGTTTCAATAGTAATAACCTGCTGCTATAATAAAAGCTGCGAGTAACGGCTATTACGAGGATTCAATAGTTTGCCAATTTTAACAAACAATTTTCAACAAATGCTGGTTAATACACAGCATCGTTGTATTACATAATCCCAAAGCATAAACTATTTTTTATGAATTAGATTAATTGTACAATTTTTAAACCACAACATTAACTAGAACCTTAATGAACGTTCATTACTTAATTACAATTCCATTTGTATCGGTTTATAAGTAAAGAAGTTATTTAATATTGAGTTTCAGTGAAGTGTATTCTGTCAAATCGCAAGCACTTTGGACATAAATAAGTACCGAGGATGCTTCGATTTTCCCTATTGTGTTTATTGCCTCTGGTAGTATCTGGTAAGTTATTTTTTGTTAATTTTAAAAGTGTTGTTTATAATTTGGTAATCGTGTCTTTTTTTGTTAAAATAATACTTGCAAGCATTCATTTATCAAATAACTTATGGATATATTAAAAATCATGAAATTTATTAGCAGTCCGTAGGGTTATTCTCTTCAACCTGTTTGCTTAGTCAACAGAAAGGTAAATCACAGTAATAGTAATTCATAGATTTGTCATCAAGCATTGAAAACTTTTTACTTTTCCAAGTTATTCTCATACGCAATCTCCTCCTATACATTTCTTTTGTTTTCATAGCTGTCTTTCTCTTTTTGTTCGGTACTCATTTAGGATCACAGTTCCTTTTTAAGGATACTCACTTGAGCTTACACCGGGAGCACTTTCACTTGAACTTTTGCCACTTAAATTTATTGAGTTGATCAGAATCTAGTTGTGAACATTTTACTGAAACCTAATACTGCAGACCATCACGGACTCTCCTTAGGCATTTTAACTATTTAATTGACTTCAAAAAGGGGTGCTCAATTTCATTATTTTTTTATATTACCTCAAATTTGTCATTTATGAACTGTATTGAAAGATTCATTCTAAGAGGTTTCCGATTGGTCTTATTCGAATATAAAAGAAAATAGCACAACTAAAGGTGATAAATTATGTTATGAAAAATATAGTTTATTATAATTCATCAGTGGCGGATTAGTCACGTAGCAAGAGTAGCAAATGCTACGGGCCCCGCGCACCAACGCTTTCTGATCGTGAACTATCGGTCGTCAATCAGCCACCTCTCGTCAAGGATCAGGACCAGGATACTTCATCTGGGCCTGAACCGGTACGATGACTGAATTGACCACGATTGAGTCGCCAGCGGGTGGACCAAATAAGAGAGCCTCCGAGATATCCAGGGCCACCCATAACGCAAGCGCCTCAATGCGACCGACCACCAAAGATACACCCCCGGTGGCCAGGCGCTTCGCCAGTTGAAAGTTTACCCACGGGCTGTAACCAAAGTGTCGTTGGCGGGGGAGAGATCTCCTCGAAGGGCACGGTCGTACCCTACGTTCACAGGAGGGACCCAAGACTAGCGCCCTGTGGAACAAAGCACGACATTGGGCCGATGTCTCAAACTTGAAACAAACCCTATAGGGTTAGTTTTTTTAAAAGGGTGTTTACGACTGGTATGACCCACCCGTCTGGCCAGCGTGTAGAGCAGGCAAGAAACTCTGGACTATTATAGGCTGTTGATGATGATGAATACTATAAACTAGATAACCTAAAACAATCCAACAACTCCTTGATAGAATTTGCTACAGGCCCCGCGCTGGCTAAAGCCAGATAAATCCTTCGCTGTAATTCATCATGATCATCATAATGAATTACAGTGCCGGATTACTTTTACCGATACTTTTTTAAAGCTTAATTTTATAGAATACAAAGCTCGTTATTTCGCTCTTCAGATATTATTTGAGCAATATAGTTGGGTTATGTATGTAGTGTTATTATTACTTCACTGGGTTAAACTGTCAGATGGCAGTTAAACCCAGGCAAATACTACATACAAAAATTATGGCACTTAGACTGTACATTGATTACCAGCTGTCAAACCCGTGACAGTGCCAAATATCACATTTACTGTTAACGGGCACTGACACGGGTTCGAGTTTTGTTTTAAATATTAATTAAATAAAATTATTTACAGTAACAGAACAACTAGGCAACGACGGAATTAGATATTATGGAACATCAAACGTTCGTTATCAGCAGACATATCCGCCACCTTTATCATTTCCTGGAAGATCGCAGTCAATTACAATCTCAACTACTACGGATACTTCACCATTGACAACAAAACCAGCTCCACCAACTGCAGACGTTCCTAAAAGTTTAATCAGTAAAGATAATGTCACAACTTCATCAGGACCAATATATCTAAAGCGTCGAAAACCATTTCTACTACCGCGTCGCACAATACTAGGGTCCAGGCCAAAGCAACAGACTACACAAACATTGGCTGTAGTTGATCTTCAGCCCAATTCATTTGTTGATACTCAATCGCCAAAACTTCCTGCGCCTCAACCTTCTCTCATTTCTTTTTACCAACCATCAAATGTTTCTGCCCCTAACGACGTAATACAAGTTACTGGCCCCCAAAGGCCTATATATACAACTCTTGAAACATCAACCGTTGATGTCGTTAGTCCCACTCTCACAACGGTTTCTGCTCAACCAAATGCATCTCCAGTAGCAGTTCAACCTAAAAAGAAACCAGTTTCTTTTGCGTTAAAGCCTGAAGGTATACTAGAAACTGTCCCAATATCTTTACCACAATCACAGCTAATACTTCAGGCCAAACCAGAGATAAATACTGCATCTGCCCAAGAACAAGATCCTCAACCAGAAACTGAGTCAACTACTATATCAAGTTTTTCTAAACCTAATCAAGTTTCATACCCAATCAATATGAGACCATACATTACATTTGCCCCACTTTTAGAGCCCATACCAGTCGAAGAACCAGATACAACTGAGTCAACTGCTTCAACCGGTTCAACTACCGAAACACCACCAAAAGCAGAACTAGTAGCTGAACCCATTGAAATACCATCAATGGCTATCAATTTTTCATCAGTAAACGCTGCCAATGGCCTACCTATAATTAACACTACCTCTCAAACCCCTACAGACACTGAAATGCAACCACCACTATTGACCGCTTCTAAACTGCCACTTACTGAAACTGAAACGCGAGTTATAACTGCTCCTCGTGTAGTAATACAGCTAATTACAGATTCGCAGGTGCCTTTGAATTCTGAATCCGCGATCTATCAACCAGATGTAACCTCAGTCCAATTAAATAAAACAGCTGATCTACGGCTTCCAGCACCTTTACTATCTACATTAACTACGCCAACAATTTCTGAAGCAACTGTTCAGCCTAAGACAGAGCCTGCTATAAATGTAACAGATCCCAATATTATAGTTGAATCAGAGCTTGTTCCTCAACTAGAACCAGAACCAACAGCTCAGCCAGAAATAGAACCAACAACTCAATCAGAGTCAGAACCTTCTACTCAACCAGAACTAGAAACAACCACTCAGCCAACTTTTCAGTCAAAACCAAATTTAACTACGCCTGAACAAATTTCATATACAGTAAAGATAACACCAAGAGGCGAGGAACGTATAGAGGAATATACAACGGTACTCTCATTTAAACAAAGAGGCGATGCCATCTCTGAACCGTCTTTCACTTTCGAAACACCAGTTAATGCAACGAATCAAACACTTGGCACTGAATCACAACTTATAGAATTAGTTCCAACACAAATACTGGCTACCAGTCAACTACCAATAATGACGACCAGTCCTCAGCCAGAAGTAACAACTACCCTTCAAGAATCTATTGTTATTGATAATAATCCACCTCAAGCAGCTTCCGCTCCTCAAGAAATAATACAACTAATAATGCCTCCCCAACCTTCTCTAAATGTTGCTCCTCAACTACCAGTGTCTCCCGCTCCCAAACCCTTAGCAGTTGTTACGCCTACGTCACGTATATCTGAAGAGCCTCAAAAAGCTGACCAACCTGAGCTGTTTTCTGTTACTGAAGTGTCAGATTCCAAATCAGAACTAGCCACTTCACAAGAGTCCAAACAAGATGCTCGACCAAACCCAGAATTAGCAACTCATTCTGAATCAGAAACAACTTTCGAACCAGAAGTAGTCATTTTATCTAAGCCCTACTCCTATCCAGTTAAACTAAGGCCAAAAGTCAGCTTTGTCGCAGTACCCGATTCAGCATGGAAGGATGTAGCTCTTAAACCACAACTTGGAGTTTTACCACCTCTTTTACCCAGACCTAAACCTATTCGGGAACCAGCTTACGGTCGCCATAACCAATCTACTACCCAGTATCCAATAACCTCAACGACACATCACGTGCTTAAGGTTTCGCCAATCATTAAGCCTACTCCGGCTCCATTTATATCTACATCTAATACTATTTGGCAGCCTAATTATGGTCGGTATACGCTACCTACCACCCAGAATCCGATTATAGAAATGACACAGAATACGACTGAAGTCCCTTTATACAATGTATCTACTTCAAAACGACCTGAATCTTCAAACCTCGACTTCTTTTGCAATGAGGGAAATGGATACTATACAGTTGATTATGAGTGCGATACATACATTCTATGCCAGGTAACTAAACAGTCAAACTCATTTTTATTTTCATAATCTTGGCACTGAAATCTGTAGTATTATAAAATACCTGTTGTCTATTCTTTCAGCGAAAGAAAGCTACAAAGTTTTCTTGTCCCGACGGCCTTTACTTCAACCCTGCCGCCAAATATAATGAGTACCCCTGTGTTTATCCTTCGGAGGTGCAGTGCAATGGTTCAACCGGAAAACGTAAGTACTTCCACTATTGTTTATTTCGGATTGCCATATTGTTACTAAATGTTCCAAGTAGGTAATAACATAAGCATATTTAATTTAACAGAATACACAAGACCAGCAATAACTGGGACGAGGCAGTGTCCTAAGCAATATGGGTTATTTGCAATTAATGATGGCGACTGCAGCAAATACATTATGTGTAACATAGGTGTAGCAACCGTCATGAATTGTCCAGCTGGACTAGTTTTCAACCCATCCACTGAAAGTTGCGATTGGGTAGCAAATGTGCCGCAATGTAATCCTCGAGGTAAATATAAAATAATATACGCATAGCCTCTCCTATCATGAAGAACTGATCGTAGTTTACTAAATATTTATTCTATTTCAGTGTTCAAGGACTACACTTGCCCGGATCCCCCGGTTGATGAATATGGTGTTGCCACAGATATAATATACAAATACAAGTATGTACAAATTTTATTATAACATTTTGATTGTTATACTACATAAATTTGACCTGAGTACAATCTTATAACTTATTTTGTTTTGTTATAGATACAGGAACCAATGCACGCAGTACATAGCGTGCCAAAGAGGATATCCTCGACTCTTGAGCTGTGAACGTGGTTTGGCCTTCGATGATGAGTCACAATCGTGCATTAGTTCTGTTTATGTACCAAACTGTGCACCATATACAGCGTAATTGCAATGTTGGACCATTGAATATACCCCTACCTAGTAAAGTTAATATATAGGGGAGAGTGGGTAACAACTAACCACACATAAGCTTCAAATTTATCACAATACATGATAATACGCACGCGAGTGAACAAACAACTCAACCGTTCTGGAACGCTTACTAGTCTCCTTTAGCCCAATCAATTGTTGTCACCACATTAGAGAAGGCATACTACGAGCTGTCATTCTTCATCATTTTTTTAAGATTTACTACTTATTTTAATACAAAATCATAACATGATATGATGAATTAATGAATAAAAAACAGCAATGTGCAATGTATTACAAGCTTTTTTTTATCCCGAAATAGGCAGTTTAAACTATGGTAACAAGACTGCTTACATAGATACCTATTTTAAGAATTACTATGTACATACTTATTACACCTAGACACCACAAACAATCATGCTCACCAGACTATTAGGGTGGATATCGAATTCCAAGACCAACCATTGTTGGGTTAGCAATTAATATCATTAACTACTAAACCAACAAGTCTGCCAGTTGTTATTATATGTTGTAATGTTTCTAAGAGAAATAGATTTTAAGATTACAAGAGTTGCAATCCATAAAAACTATTTAAAATATATTTCAACACATAATAGTATGTCAAACAGAATGGGTGCTGACCCTTTATACTAAAACAACCTGTTTTAACTCATGTCGCCTGGAGAGAAAGAGACACTGTACTTGCTCCATACTTGATTTATAATTATCACCTACACCTCTGCAAGCCTAATGTTAATTTGCACTTTTCTACCTGAAAGACCGCCACCCGCCACTGGTGACAGTTTACTATCAATTGATGATCTGATACTGAAACACTCGGCAAAATCGATTTAATTTGATATCCATCCCTATCAAGTATGTAAATAACGATTGCGTACTCCATAGCACTCGCACCTTAATAGTAACTAGGTTGTAAAGGAATATCCGATAACATATAGGACAAAATAAAATGGTTTGTTCTCTAGTAACTAATGCTTTGTTTTTAAATTAAAAACGAGGCTGTTTATAAAAACTAGTTGTGCGGTATACACATTTATTAAAACGGAGTGCGTTAGGTACTTTTAGGAAACCAACCTCAGATCCATATTTCAAAACTCTTTGTACGGACGTGAAAACGCAGTGATGCTGCAACAAACATACAATCTTATAAATACTATTGCTTTCATCGACAGCCTTTAGTAGTCCACTGCTAGACACAGGTCTCTTCGTAGAAATAAGGTTTTGACCTACTGAACCTCGCTGGCCAGACGGGTTGGTAGATATAAGGTTTTTTTGTATCCAGATTTCCTTCTCTTTGCAGTGCTGTTGTCCTACGTAGTCCCCTTAGGGGATCCCATGTCGCAAGGTTTGGGTCGCTCCGACTCGCAGCAACTTTATAGAACTATTCTCTACTATAATACTCGTATGCGTACATATATTATACATAGAAACTTACCACGCTCTTGAATCACGGTCTCTATTGATGAAATGTTTTGAAAGATTTAAACGTAAAATGAACAGAAAGCGAAAGAAGATACTCGTACATGCATTGTTTCGTAACGGTTTTTACGAAAATTTGTACATTGTTATTACTCATCATAACTTCAAAATGAAGTGACCGATTTAAACAATTCAAAAAGTAATTTCTACTTAAAATAAACCAGTTAGTAATTTAGGATATATACCTAAATGACTAATTAGTTTATTTAGATAAGGATTACTATCATGATACTGATAGAATCACTTTTTATTTTAATTCCTACTATTATTTTAGATAATAGTAGGAATTAAAGTTAAATATTATAGTTAAACTATAATATTTAGATATACCTCCTCGAAAACTTTTTGTACGTATTGTTAAGTATGTTATCAAAAATACACCGTATTTTTGAAGTAAATCTCATAACGCACGCTAGACTTCGGGAGTAAGCTGGTAATGCCTGACGAGAGCGTTACGAAAAGTGTGATCGGGTGAGGCGAACGGAAGTTGAAAGGGAGATATAAGTTAGTCAAGATAGAAGGAGAGAGAGTTACTTTTCGTATATTACTGTAGGGACAAGAGAGAGAGGTGCGAGCACACATTTTCTTTCTTTCTCTCATAGCCAAAAACTCACTGAAGTAAGTCGTTTTTTTATGTACAGATTTTGCAGCGCACAAAGCAGATATGTGTTGCAATTTTTCATACCTTGCTTTAAATTATCGTCATCTTTATAGGAAACTAGCTGATCCGGCAAACGTTGTATTGCAACAAAAAAAAATTAGGGATGGGTCACCCTTACCATTCAAAATTGTGAATCTAAACCATTCCCAGATCCCCTTGAACACACACAAAAAATTTCATCAAAATCGGTCCAGTCGTTTGAGAGAAGTTCAGTGACATACACACTCACAGAAGAATTATATTTATAAAGATTAATTATGTTTTCAAAAAAAATATAGCCTATGTGACGCGCTGATAATGTAGCTTTCTATAGGTAGAAAGTAAATAGTTTTAAAAATGGGCATAATAGAATTTTTAAAAGATTTTATGATGCTTTATCCATTTCCGCTCTAAGTACACGAGCTTCTTAACGAAGCCAAACAATAGGTTTGTTCAGTACAAATCCCAAATAGGTGACTAAATTGACAATTGCTATCGATCGGTCGCTAGTACTCGCACTCGCAAGCTGCCCTTATTTTCGTAACTAGTAGTCGCTGCGACCGAAGTCGCGCGACACCGCTTGCACGCTGCACAGGGCCTTAGTTGGCTCTTATACCCACGGGATGAATCGGGATGGTGAGGGTGACACTCCGTAGTCTTAATCCCTATTTATATTGCCTAGGTATTTTAATCAAAAGAATTACATTACATCACTTTCAGTTTTATCGTTGTATTATTTAATTTTATTTATTTCAAGACAAAATCCAATTTTTGGACCGTGAATATTGTTTTCAATACTGGCAATTCTATTACGTTTTTCTTTTAATTTAATCTTCTTATAGGAAAAATAACCGTATATTTGATTGGTCTATTTATTTCAAAGATTTCTAATAGCCAATCATGAAATTGTTTTGTAGGTTTTGTAATTTATGAAAACAGTTTAATTTTTCTGCCAAATAAGCGCGGTTTTGGTGAAAACATTGATTCAAATTTGAATTTATTATTGTAGAAGCGTGATCAGAAAAGTGATCAGAAAAGATTTTTTGCCATCTTCTATAAAAAATAATATTTTTTCTAACACACCTCAATGTGTTCGTGTCTTGTGCGATGACAGAGCAGGCAGTGACTACCGTAAGACATTCCGCTAGCGCAGCCCTGGCGGACATCGCCCCAGTTGTCCCTTCGGATCGAGCGGTTGCGTAGTCGTGCAGCTTACGGCTAAAGATTTCGAGCTCAAACATATTTTTTTTTACAATCGCTGTGTTCCTAAAGTGAATTTGAAATAATAAAAACAATATAAAGTCAATATCCTGTCATATTTGTAATCTCTGAGACTGAAATCATTCCCGATTCGATGTAGAGTTGTGCACAAAATGGAAGATTCCTACATTATCGCTAATTTCCACACGCTGTGTCGGTTGTGCCTGACCAAAAGTACGCTCACTACATCAATATTCACAGCTGCGCCTGACGATGAATCTAATGTTACTTTAACCTGCAAAATAGCAGAATGTTTCGAATTACAGGTTCGTCTGGTTCCTTTCTATTTATGTCGAATTATTCTCACGGTTGCAGATTTATCTGAGCTCCTTCCTATTGCGTTTTATTTGTTTTTTACAGATAGATCCTAATGATGGCCTTCCTGGGAGAATTTGCTTCAGATGTTTATTCAAACTGGATAAATGTTCAAAGTTTAAACACCTATGTATACAAAATGAAGCCCGGTTAAGACAGATTACCACCCGTTTGAATGAATTGGACAACTCTAATTCATCTGAAGTTAATGATTACCAGTACAGTCAGGATGCAAAACCACCAAAACCAGAAGACTATATTGTTGAGGATAGTGTTGTAATGGTTGTTGACCCAAGTCTTGATTATGACTCTTCAGAAGAATCTGAAAATATGGAGCCACCTGAACAAGAAGTGGCAGAAAGAGACAATACACCAGATGGTGAACCGATAACTGAATCTTTCTTCAAAAATGTGTTCATGTGTCAATACTGTGATCAAGCTTTTATATCACAAGAGAAGTGTAAGGAGCATGAACAAAATTATCATGACCCTAATCTACCTTTTAAATGCTTTGAGTGTAGTTTAGTCTTTGCTGAGCGAAGTCAATATGTGCAGCATAGTAAACAAGTGCATGGCAATGATAAACCTTACCACTGTCCTGAATGCGATAAATGTTTTGGCAGACGTTCTGATTTGAGAAAACACTCTATTGTACATACTGGCATAAGGCCATATCAATGTCAGTACTGCCTAAAGAGCTTCTCCCGTAACACTAACTTAAGTAAGCATCTTCGTATTCATGCAGGACACAAGCCACATGTTTGTCCCCTTTGTCCAAGAAGTTTTGTAGCAAAAGGAGATTTACAGCGTCATGTGCTAGTACACTCTGGGATGAAACCATATGCTTGTCGCAAGTGTCCACTTACATTTGGTAGACGAGATAAATTAATCAAGCATGAGATGAGACATGGCCCTATTAGTCCTGAAAAGACAGAATATGACAATGAAAATGATACACATGATATGGTTGTGAGTGTTAATCCTTTTAGTAATCTCATGACCTCTCCAACTCAACCCAATCCAGATTCATCAAATAATGATTATGAGTTACCTAGAGTCCCAGACCACATATCTGGAGAAAGTAGTTTTATGAAGGTGCAGAAGAATTCAACTGCCAGCAAACCAACACAAAGTTCACCACCAAAAAAACCAAGTGTAGCAAATAAAAACAGACCCAAAAATATAAAATGCCACCAATGCCCTAAGAGATTTAGTTCTTTAGATTCATACAAAACACATGTATCTATTGCGCACATGAGTTCAAGAATCTTTCAATGTAAAATTTGTTTTAAAAAGTTCCCAAGAAAGAGGGAATTGGACCGTCACGCTGCTCTTCATTCTGGCATGAAGCCTTTTTCATGTAGCCAATGTGATAAGAAATTCACAAAGAAGGATAAACTTGATAAACATGAAGAAAGTCATGAGTGCATGGTTGTGAATATGCCTTGCATTGAATGTGGTATTAAGTTTGAAAAGAAAGCAGATCTAGTTGCTCATATAAAGTCCCATTTCTCAGACAATTTTGATGAAAAAATGGGTGATATAGAAATTAAAAAAGAAGATGAGTATGTACTGGATGAAAATTTCTATGATTTGGAGACTTGAGAGTTAGCAAGCCACCAAGAACAATTATCAACTGTTTCACAGTATACAGCACAGCAGTGTAATGAATATACTTAATTCATTGTTCACTTAGTACTTAATATATTCCACCTATATGTAGCTAGACACTGATTTGATGAGCATTATCTTTCACATTATTGGATTATAAATATTTTTCAAAAGCTTTCACAAACCACCTGTGCATTACAAACTTTGAAAATTGTGTTAGCTTCTAAAGCCCACTCAAATCATGTTCAGTAACTAATATATGCATTATAAGTATTAGTATTAAGATTTCACAGTTCTCATATTGAGGTATTACCAAAAACTACTGTATATTTTTATTTGTAATGACTGTTTTTTTTTTATTATAGTAGTTAAAATTTTACTATTATCATATAATAAGTAGAAGTTAAAAAAATAATCAACCTTATTGGTCAGTTTCATAGACTAAAATTAAATAGTCCATTCCACTGTGTGTTGAATCTGAATGTTATTCAATATATGTATGTTTGAAAGTAAACACAATTATTAATTTTGTGTTCTAATGTTGCTTCACATAAAAACGGTGATGCATGATTAGTGAAAAAACCTAGTGCAATTAATTATTAAGAAATCAACGGAACATTGATTTAATCCAAAGAAAATAACAATGATAACTTATAGTTAACTATTTTATCCAATTATGGTAAGGTTAGAAGTTGCAAAGAAATTAATATCATGCACAAATATTGTCCTTATCAAGTGATAACTCTAGATTAGATAGTTAATAATGATTTAATTTGATTAATTTATACCATTCAGTTTTACCTATCTAATAAATATCCTTATTGAAATTCTTCATCGCCACTGAATCTGTGTGTGCAAAAGCTCATATGCAGTATATGAGCATATAAAGTATATGATTATAGCAATTTGCAAATACATGCGTGATTTTGGTGTTAGATGTATTAATCTATAAACTTATACATAGTATGCATAAAGTAACAAAAACTCATTTTAATGTGTGATTTAAACCTTTTACATTACATGACTTCCCCTTGATTGTGTTAAATATGTCATAATTGCATATTATATAAAATATTTTCTAATATCAACCATTTTATTATCATTATAAGTAATAGCAATTTGAAATTGTACTTGAATTCAACATCTTAAGATTGCACTTGTAGCAGGGTGAATATTCGTTCTTTTTAATTCTTTATTTTTCTGTGTCATTTTCCTCTTTTTTTTTTTGTCTGTGAGGTAATCCCTTCGGATACCACCCACCGGTGGTTATGTCGGACAAGAACCAAACAAAAACCACGCGCCGTCTCGGGTACCATTAGCCGGGGAACCAGGTATACCCTAGGAAGGAAATCCCTAGAACCTCCGAGCCATCTACGGCCTGTAGATGACCCCCTCGTGAGTCATATTCCCCCTCCAAATATATAATTCACTATTGGTATTAGTATTAAGTTACTAAATTATTAACTCCTTCACTGCTGAATAACACATACCCAGTGTTTAATAAAATTTTCGCCAGTTCTGATAAAACGAATATTTTTTCGAACCACAACTACTGGCTTTACAGCTGTTGTGTTCCTTACAGCAATGCTATTACCCACACGTGTTCACCACAAGTGTGTATGTATACACACCCCTTGTATTCCATACACAAGTGCTGTTAACACATATATGTATAACATACGAGAATGCTGAAAACACAACTGTTGTGAAGCATAGGTAACGGCTATGCAGGAAACATGCGTCTGAGTGTGTTTTTTATTTTGTTTAATATGTAGAGGTGTGGTCCAGTACATGACATAATTACATCAATTTGAGTAAAATCTAACATGCATAATAATCTTTAAAATATGAAATAAACATTTCATATTTTGAAGATGATTTTGTAGATGAAGTATGAATATTGCATACAAACACGCAGAAGTAAAAAGAGTGAAGAATTACCCTGCATCTTGTTAATCCTATGTAATAGCCATAACAACAGTTTACTTGTTATTAAGTAGGCAATTGTGTCTAGATATGTAAATAATTATCAGCAATAAATGTTGTGAAAACTGATAAATGTTTTAATTATTAGGACATCCTCAAAACTTGGTATTAATTAATAAGTATTTTTCTGTATATAATTGTTGTTAGTTCCCAGTGGTTAACTCTATATTTGAGTATATACATATATATACTTGTTTTCAGTTAAATTAACTTTAACCAAATTTGTTACGATTTATTATTTGCTCTCTAATTATATTATATTTGACAAGGTGAAACTAACTTTTTTATTTTACTGCCGATTTAGACAAGATATGATAAAGAAACTATGTTGATAATTATTTTTAAACACAGTCATAACCTGAATTACTTTTTCATGCCTGAAATATTAGTAATTAACAACAATTTAGTTGTATTCAAATATTTTATTGTCAAATTTAATTTAAATTATAGTTAACCAGCTAATGGATTAGCATGTATAGTGACCGATGTTATTCTTGATTCAGTGAGAGGTCTATATGTTTTAGGATTTACTGCCATTTTTTCTAAATCATCAAGTGCTTCAAACCCATCTATTATCCTGAAACAAATAATTGATTTTTATTATAAATGCATAATCATGATACTTGCACAACTGAACATAGAGCTATACCAGAGAATTCTATACATCAGGCTTTCTGTCCCAACTCCTATGTATCTATGCATATGATCTTGTTTATAACAAGACTAGTCAGTAATTTTGTTTCTGATTAGGTATTATGATTGGTACCATCTTGAATCACAAATCCTGATAAAGACTACATTTAGTCAAAGCTAAGATTTCATCACTTGTCTTCACTTGAATATTTATATTCAATGTAACTTGAATCATTGGGTAATCACTACTCTTTTCCTGCCCTCCGCCAGTTTTATTTGTGGTGGGAGGTTTGGCTGATTTACTTTATGACCCATACCTGTTTGAGCCAACCCTTCTTTGGAATGTAATTGTTTGAAGACATAACTTGTTCTTTCCTATGGTTGGAGATGCCACAAGTATACAGAAATCAACAGCCTTTAGTAGTCACAGGAAGGAGTTGGACAGGAAGTTTTGGCCTACTATTCCATACTGGCCAGATGGGTTTTTTATCTCATCTCTTTGCAGTGTTGTTGTCCTGCATGGTTTGCTCTCTCAGGATCAATAAGGGTGGCGACAATGCATATTCTTAATTTGACACCACACATGGTGTGCGATATTCATTATGTGCAAAAACACTACAGGCTTTTTAAACCTAATGTATACAACTTACTCTTACATAAATTATTATTATTTTTGTCTTACCTGCCAAATAAAGTGTACTTGAGGTCTAAGTGAGGTTGTTCTCCATATGTAAAAAAAAATTGGCTTCCATTAGTATTGGGACCGTTGTTGGCCATGCTAACCATTCCTCTTGCATTGTGCTGAAAAAGGTAATCAAAGCAGTGTAATTATAATAACTGCACACATCTCACATTAGGCAGTCTGATCCTAAACTACGCAGAGCACCCACTATGGTAATAAGCCTGCTGATAAACATACTTATATAATTATAAATACATACATATTATAGATAAATTACACCCAGAGACACAGAACAAATGATCATGCTCATCACACAATATTTGTTCTGGGTGGGGTATCATTGTTATACCATTCTTTGTTTTATAAACGATAAACAATATTTTGATAGATAAATATAAAAAAATATATTTTTATATTTATCTATCCAAATATCGTTTTAAATATTTACATTCAAAATTGTACCTTTAATTCTTCCTTGAACTCGTCCTCAAATTTTCTTCCCCAAATAGATGAGCCTGCTTTCCCAGTGCCAGTAGGATCGCCTGTTTGTACTATAAAACCCTAAACAAAATAGAACTAATTTATTATATGCTCTGTCGGGTATAGTTATATGAATTAGCAGTGTTCTATTTACCTTAATATTCCTGTGAAATAAACATCCATTGTAGTAATCACTAGCACATAGAGCTAAGAAATTCTCGCAAGCTTTTGGACATTGTTCACAGAATAACTCTATTTTTATATCTCCAACATCAGTATGAAGAGTGACTGACATGTTTTACTAATTATAACTTTAAACTTGCACTTTTTACTATAGGTTTATTTAATAATTGGAAGATATTGCCTCAACTCTGTTTACTTTCTGTCGTGCCATTGGATTTATAGTGTATTTTCTGTGCAATGTGCATAACATAAACACCTTTTGACATTAGACGTCAACAACAGTATGTTAGTGTTGCCAATTAATTTTAAAAATGAAGGAACCATTTTAAGTTTAAAAAGTGCCATATAGTCATTATTTTAAAAAAATAGTAAGCTAAAAGCTGAAATAGGTTCAAAATGATAATGTTTAGTACTTTTAAATAAAATTTAGTGTTTAAATCTATTAACATAGTCCAATTCACTTCAATCCGACTATTGCAATCCATTACTGTACATGGACACCAAATGTGCGCCATAGCACCCAGTTCTCCGCCTTCAGCATCATCGATAATTTTTTTACACAATGAGTATTACTGCATTATTTTACTTTAACCTTATCATAATCTATTATGTTAAAGGACCGGTTGGTTTTACACTTTTTAATTATAATTTTGGAGTACATTGCCTTTTAGGCAGCTTTAAAAACTTTCAGCTCGGGTACTTATAGAAAAACTAGATAAAAATGATCTTTTATTATTATGCTATGTAACTTGATGATCAATGGCAGCTTAAATTAATTAAACTCTCGATAATATGTATAGATACTGAGGCATAGTTATGTCATGCTTAACTAAAAGAATTTGTATTCTTATAATTTAATTTAATCTATGATGTCAAATATGTTTATTTACAATAAAACACATTTCTATTTCTATAAAGGAGTAAATATTACAGTTCTAGAAGATAGAATAAAAAGACTAATTTAAAAAAGTATTTATTGAGATCATAAACTATGGTACAAGTATTTTATTCAACACCGCCCGCTCTTTCATTTTGTCCAGCATGCGGTTCATGGATATGTTCATCATTTCCATAATTGCCCAGTATTCTTTGGCCATTGGGATCAAACGGAGATTTAAGGTGTAGTGTCGCTTTGTGCCGCTGTCCCATCACCTCGATCTCATATTCGCCGTCTTTCAAAAAATCTTTGGTAACTTTCGCGCCTTTATTGGTAATGTAACCAACTCCGACTGGCTTGTCTAAATAGAAGGCGTAATCTCCCCTTCTTAGGTAACCAACAGGTTCTCCATTTCTAAATATTGCTTCTTGACCGAATATTGCCACCTGCAGGTAAATATTAATGTAAGTTTAAGTTGAACATAATTATTACATTTCAACATTATTTTTGAATAAATTTCCTGTTATGTTTTATAAAGTTAAATTAAATAGCGCTACTGCTAAAATAAATTAATTTTAACGGTTATATATTTCTTTGAGATGTTGATGACGATGACAAAGGAACGTTATGTAGTTTAGAACATTTCTAATGAAAATGTTTTACTAGCAACTTTAGACATTTCTAATAAACTGATAGTATTATGTAAATAAAACTAAAATGTATGCCTTCTTTACCTATAATTTTCCGAGGATTTCAAGCAAGTTTTTTGTAACGTACCTTATCATCTAGTGTAAAATAAGCATATTTCTTCGTTACTCCGTTCTTCCTGGCCTTAGTAACGAATTCGTTTCCAATGTAATCACCTTCTTTTCTACAAGTGAATCCTAAACCTGCTTCGATTGGGTTATCATCAGTTCTTAAATCGGCATTCCATAAATGGTAACCTAAAAATGTATAAAAATCATAGAAATACTTAAGTTAAATATTAAGCTAACGCTGAGCTTAAGCTGAAACGCAAATTTTCGCTTAGTCATGATTACTTTTTGTAGTTTCAGAATGTTGGTAAAATTTGATGTCGGATCAGATGTAGGTAATCCGAATTTTTTGCGCCTATCTCAGACATCACTTAAAGTCCATAAAATAACGCATGCACATAATAGGTACGTTTACACTAATCCTATCGATATTTTATGCCATATAGGTAAGGGACAAAATTTTGACTTGAATATAGAAAAAAACAATGTAGCGTCAAAACAGTAGTGTTGTGAAGTGGACGTGCATTCCCCAATCGAGTAGCTTTAAACTCTATCATCTACTCTTACCTGCAATGTGATTTTTAGAAATTAATTGTTTTGATCATTAAAGAAGTCATGCGATTAAACTCTACCTTTCTCCAAACTAAGTGACGTCAGCGCCCTCCATCCTGCATTTTTAAGTCCCTTCGTACGGCTCAATGCTCTATACACAGGTATGGCATGAGACGAAGGCACGTGTAATTCCCAACCAAGTTCCCCGGACCATGTAACACGCAGCGCACGGCAAGTATATTGTTTATCATCAGGATTTCTGGAAGATTTTCCGAGACGGATGCTACGATGTGTGTTGACAGGGAAAGCGTCGTTGGATAACCCAGCGTCTGTGAATCGCTGGATGATATGTTGGCTGAAAAATCCAAAGATTGAACATGGAAACACTTTAAGATACGCAGGCTTTCGACAGTAGCAACCTAAGACTAGCGAGAGAAAGGCATGGTGGAGTATTGCGTTGTAGAATAATAAGTTACCTCTCTGGTCCTTGCACACTTAGAATGCACAGTTGTTTAGAGACATCAGTGACGGTCGCCTTGAGTTTGTGTTTTTGAATGATCCGTCGCAAATGAGCCAATGCGTGAATTGCACTGAATCCACTCGTCACTATATAGTATCCACGACCCTGTTTAAAGAAATATAAAGTAGATTTTACTACACCATTAGTTTAGTTATATGATTTTACGACATAAAATTAAGATGATAAGTCATATGCAGATTACAGGGCTTGTCTTGTTAAGTACACCTGCACTGCACCGGCAGACTTTATGACATAACACTGTATGTTGTTTGAATCGGTTCGAGTCCGCCATAATTATAACCTTATCGTTTAGGCCCGGTGCGGTGACTACCCGACAGGATTTCCACACCATAAGTGATATATGATGTATGTTTGTATATAACCTCTGTATAGAAATAAGTTATGTTAGAATGACTGTCGTGAGTGGTATTCATATTTATTAAACATACATTTCAAGGCCTGTGTCCAGCAGTGGACTAGTATAGGCTGTTGATGATGATGATGATGATGATGAAACATACATTATTAATTACATAGGTAGGACGCTTCACTCATTGTTAATGGGCCCCCGTGGGATCGAAACATGACCTGATAGTCATGAGTTTATACTATAAACATAAAAAATAGCGTAATAATTTGTAACATAAATATATTATACCTTGAAGATTGGTTCGTGCAGTTGGCCACTACCACCATCTAGTATACTGACTGTGACGTCAGCTTCTACACCACCTTTTTCATTCAGCATTAAGGAATACACGACCCTGTAACAAATTATAATTTATTTTATATCCACATGTAGTTGTCAATCAATTTGGTCCTGTAAATGATTTCATAAAACTTAACCTACCTAGTTATCACTAAATTTAATACGTTTAATATATTATTCTTCAAAACAATTAGCTTAGCTTAGTGATGTATGAGGTTTTGCACTCAAACCTGCCTAAGATTAAAGACGTATATAAAGCTTATGATATGGTACGTAAATGACTTGACAGATTTTTCAGTAATTCCATGACATAACAAAGCAAGCCCACAGTCTATGCCGCTATGCGTTTTCCGTAACTGTAAGTAGATAGAGATAACAATCATACTTATTTGTATATTTTACCACATGAAAATAGCCACAGAGACTCTGGGTTACATATTTTCTTACCTATCGTTTAACTTAGACAGGTCAGAGGTGAATGCCAAATCCGCGGTCCGCTGTGCGTCGGGACCGGTCAGGTAAAGCTTCCCGTAGTACGACATGTTGAATAGAGCGGCTGCGTTACGACAAGCCAGAGCTTCCGACCCGATCTGGTATCATAACAAAAATAATCTTGCCTGAATAAAATCACTTTAATACCTACTGAAGATTAAGTTACGCGAAAACTGATAAATTAATTATAAGTACTTTGCAAAGAAAGAAATGTTTTAAATTAATCTTTATCCATGGAGAGCCATGCTAGGGTCCACATGGGCCAGGCTCGACCGGATAATACGGCCTCGCAGAAAAACGATGTTAAACAATTCTTTCATTGATTTTCACAGTGAGTTTTTTTTAGTTTTTTTAGTTTACCGGAGCCCAAAACACTCCCCCTTCCATTGATTCTGGGGGGAGGGATTGAAAGAGTCCATAGGTGGCGGTAGTCACTTACCAATAGTTAAAACCCGTCTGTTCATTTGGGAGGCAAACCACCATATACCATAAAAAACACAGTGGCACACCGGGAGTGCAAACAAAAGTGAAACCTTATATACAGAGGTGTTGGTAACGGTAACAGTTCAATTGTTTTCTCCCCATCTCAAAAAATGGCCTACGCGCCTAAAGAAGTTTTCACTTCAACAGCGGTTTCGGTAACGTTAACGGTGTCGCAAGTTCAATGGTTTCTTCCCATCTCAAAAAATGAGTTTCTTGTTAAACCATAAAATACATTATTTTGTTTGTAGTTCAAAAATGCTCAACGCACCTAAAGAAGTTTTCACTTACACTAAATGGTGCAATCCAATGTTTACTGCAGTAATTAACCACAACGGACTCCCTACACAGATACTGTACAAAATATAATTTCGTGTGAGTACATAGGACAATGAAATCGGTTTTCTTAACTTTATGAGACATTGGTTTAGAAACTTTTATCGCTGTTTCTTGTTTTTACTTTGTTTATGTTATATTATGCTCATTAAGCTGAATGTAACGTTCTTGAGTATTAATAAAGTTCTTTAAACCCAAACCTAAAGATTAAATCAGATAGTATTTATATTCGCGAATAACTATGCACTGAAAACTAATTTTATGACTTTTAGTTTACCAATGTTTTTTTTGATGTGGGACAGAAGTCAACTATCTCGAAAGTTTAACAGTTACAAGCAAGTTTGAAGGAAAAGAGACTTTACCAGTTCGTGATGTTTAGAAAAGTTAAAGGTGTAATCTCCTTTGAGGATATTTTCATAACGCTGGTCCATATTTCTGGGGTAGTCGTGGGTGCCGCCCCAGTCGTATTGTTGTACCCTTATCTGTAAAAGATATAATATAACTTTATTTTGCAGTTAAATAAACAAAGCTTCGGTTAACGAACATCGTCTATCTACTGCGTAATGTCCCAAGTATAAAATGAAGGGCACAAAATATCTAATAAGTATCAATTTCCCTTTTGAGGTATGAAAGAATAAAAATAATGCTCAATAAACACATGCTTTTCTAGTTTTAGTGAAATTAAGGAGAAAAAAGTCACGTTCAATTTTAAAACTATTCTATTTAAATTATCGCCCTTCAGCTTGCTTAGCCGTTAGCAGTGAACTTAAGTAATAGGTCTGCTTACTTTTTCTCCAGGCATAAAGAAAGCAGGCCTCTCCCATCCCGCTCGAGCCTGCATGACGGCTCCGTCATCCACTAACTCTTGGTGTATAGCATCATGGCTTGCGTCGCGACCTGCCAGAGGTTCGTCATGCGGGTAGACTACGCTGTAATTGCGAACGTAAGCCTCATGGCTACTTTCCCTCATCCAATGGCCGCGGGACATTTGTCCGGGGGTAAAACGACGGATATCAAAGGTGAACATGTTGTAATGCGGTCTAAAACATTATCAAAGGATTTGTTAGAAATATGCAACTAGCACTATCCAAATAACCTTTTATTTTTTATAAGGATATAATAGATTCAATAGTAACCTTCCACTGATAATCCACTCAGCCATTTGTATCCCACAGCCAGCTGAGAACATCATACCGGCTGAATTGTACCCGCAATTGTGATATAATCCTGTAAAAAAGAAGTAAATAGAGGAGTGTATTTCCATAAATTCCATGTGTGTACATCACTTTCAGTAATTGATTGCAACATAACACAACCAACGTTTAATTCGATGTATATATGGAATCACTAAGAATGCAAGATGGTAACACAATTTGTGTAGCTTGCCAACAGATAATACATCAAAGCTATCAAGAAAGTCACTCGTCACTCTTTTCTAAGTCACTTACTTATCTCACAAAGTTCTGGGAAATCTACGCTACAGTAGCAATATAACGCTATGCTTGTACTGCTGGTAGCAGACATCTTTTCTATAGTACTGTTCCAGTAGACCACCACACTTTCCACCACACATAGTGTAAGTATTCTGTTTACACAAAACGAAGTGCTTTTAATTAAACCATAAAATTTCAAAGTCCAGTTATATAAACAAATACTGTATATCTACACTTAATTAAACTAAATTGCGTCAGAGTGATAATAAAATCAGAGTTGTGGTAAACAAAAATATATATAATAACTAGTTAATCCTATCTAACTAGTTGGAGCGATTAAAAAGTGCCTACATAATATAAGGTATTATTATTAAACATAAACACTATCCGATATGTTGTAATTTTTTTCTCTCTTATTTACTACCTTTTTTTATTCTCGCATTAAGTAATTATACTTTAGTAGCATAACCCAATAACAACGATATGGATTTCATTAATATTTGGCTGATATAAGTATGCTTATTGATTAACGAGAAACTGCACAATCTTGCAATTCATACATAAACCTCGAGGAACTTACCAAACACATTAGGATCTTCTCCCAATACAGGTTTGTGGTCAGGAGTAAAGGATTCGGGGCCGCACACCGTACTTTTGATGCCAATTTTATCCAATTTGGGACAGAGGGATGCAGCACTGCTCATGTGTATCCCGAATATATCCCAATCCAAATCGTACATATGGAATTGAAGATTGTCTGGTACCTGAACAAAAATATTTAAGAAAAAAACGCCAAAAAGAGCTGTATCACGTCTTTAGTTTTAGTTTTTTTTTAGTTACCTGGTCTAACATATGCGGGTTAGATTCATAGCCTCCAACATGACAACTCTCGCCCTGGACCTTGATATACAGGTTGACGTCATGATCCCTGATGTTAGGAGCGTTGCGGATTTCCGGTGTAGCATCACATACGACATACGCGTGCTTGAAAGGGATTATTGGAAGTGATGGGATACCTGCAAATCTAGCAACTCGTGGGCCCCACGCACCTAGTAAAGAAAAAAAACTTTCATCGACAGCCTTTACTAGTCCACTGCTGGACATAGGCCTCTCCTTAGAAAGGAGGTTTTGGCCTACCACACCACGCTGGCCAGACGGGTTGGTATAGGGTTTGTGTAAAGTTTTCCTTCTCTCTGCAGTGCTGTTGTCCTGCGTAGTTTGCTCCCTTAGTCGCCTTTTACGACACCCACGGGATGAATAGGGTAAAAAAACTTTATATAATATGATTTAAAAATTGAGACAAATGCGAGTCGGACTCACCCACCGAGAGTTCCGTACAAATGTATAAATAGTTCAGGAATCGAGTCCCGCAGTTTTTTCCGAGCTTTGTGTGAAATTCATGTTCCAAAACCTTACCTTACATGACATTTTGTTTTGAATTGAATTGTACTTCGATGATGGATTACGTACCTAATTTAAATAGAGACTATATTTTTATGATTAAACTACAAACATTAATTTTCAGATATTGCCCTGTACTTGTAGTCTAAAATGATATCACTTGTCAAATTTCATAGTTCTAGGTCAACGGGAAGTACCCTATCAATTATGATTCCCCTGAGATTGTCGAAATGTGCGTTTTTTGAGGCATAAACGGCCGTAGGTATCTATTTTTACGTTAACTTAAGAGTTTGACTATTTTACAGCTTCAAGTACTTTAGATCTCAGTATATGGTTTTATTTTCAACTCGATACCTCCACGCGTTCCTGAGATTTAACTTCTTGATAGACAGACAGTCAGATAGGCGGATTCGCTTTTTCCTTTTGAGTTACGTAACCCTAAAAAATAAAATGTATACATTCGAACCGTGTCTGGCAAATTAATTTAAAATAACATTCTTATTCTTTCTATTCTATACTGTCGGAAGTCCAGTTGAGTGTCTGACAGATCATCGACATGTGATGGAAGATGCGGACTGAGAAAATCTCTCTCAAACAATTTACCGACCTCGTCCGGGAATACAATTGGTCTATTCGGCTGCGACCGAATCAATAGACCGTCCCGGCTTCTACGGTAGCTGATGTAGGTACCCGCTTTTCCAGTTTTTAACTAACCGTCGGCACGCCATTCATACGTCATTCCTTGAACCCGCCACAGTAACCTAATCTAAAGTAAATACTTTGAGACAATCTTATCAATATTTGACGTACCTATACATAAACAAAAGAAATATTTTTATAAGTATACTTCTGTATGTTACATATTGCAAAATTAATGAAATTGTACCCTAAGTAATGAAAGCACTTTAGATTCCGTACCAGAAAAAATGTTACTAGTTTTGCTTATTTAATTAAATATTGCAGGGATATGTATAAAAATCTAAATAAAGTCGTCGTCCTGCGGATCCTGGTGTGGGCGCTATTGCAGCTTCGCGATGCGATCTGCCCAGACGCAGATCTGCGAAGCGGTCATGCCCCGCACCCGAGGTCGTCGGCCTCCAAGGAAGGAGGTCTACTGGTGGTCCCAAGAGCTGGCGGACCTCCGTGCTACCCCGAACGGCTGATTTCCGGGCGGATAGTGGCAGTCTGCCCCCGCCCGAAGAGGTACGCATGTGGCGTGAGGCCGCTCGCCGAGCCACGATGGCTCTTTGGTTGACCCGGCTGGAGGCCCGCGGTCGCAGACGGAGGCGGTGGAGAGGGCCTGGGAGGACAACCTCCACTCGGACCCAATTCGTCGCCGGCGGAGGAGCGCTTACTAGCGCCTCATGCCGCCCTGAGGTCGTCCCGGCTGGAGGTTCCACGACCTGGCTTCGCTGGCTTGTCGCAGGTACTTTCCGGGCACGGCTGCTTCGGGAAGTACCTGCACTCGGTCGCTAGGAGGGCATTGAGTCCCGCCTGTCACCACTGATATTGCAGTGAGGCTCAGCACACGGTGGCAATTTGCCCGGCTTGGAAGTCGCAGCGCTGGGTCCTTCTTGCAGTCATCGGAGGGGACTTCTCGCTACCGGCCGTCATACGCTCCATGGGCGGTAGTGACAGATGTTTTACCGCGGTTGCATCCTTCTATGAAGACGTCATCCAGAAGGAGGCGGTATAGAGGGCCTGAGAGGATGATCTCCACTCGGACCCAATTCACCGCTGACGAACCGGTTGGCGGAGGCGCGCTTACCAGCGCCTCATGCCGCCCTGAGTGTGGCCGCGGGTGGACGGGATGGGTTTTCCAATCCACCCGCCATAACGGCCCGCCGCGAAGTGAATAGAGAATTTACCCGAAGGTGGTGCAGCGACATTGCGGGCAGGCGCTAAAAGGGGTCCGGATGTCTTAATAACAGTAGGTCCTGGTCCTCCTATTATAGGCGCGGAGAAGCACACCGTGTGGTTTTAGTCGGTCCGGGTTCAACACACCACCCTGCCGTAAAACCCGGTGGGGTGACGGCCCGAGGGGGTTTGAAAATGAACATTTTGAACCTATGTCAAGCATAGCGAGTATAAAACTTTATTTCATGAACTATTCCAATACAGAAATTATATGCATATCCTGCCTGTACGACACCTTCACAAGCGTGTAAATGACCGAAATGATGTAAGATTCTAAATATCCTAGTGTTTACCTCCACAGTTGACCACACATTTTGTCTTGATGATTCCTCTGTCCGTGTGAACCGCTGTTACTTCTTTGTTTCCAAGCAAATTGTGTGTGTAATGGATATCAAGGACAGGACACTCTTCGTAAATCTGAGACAAAAAATAAATAAGGTATTATTGCATTAATTAAATATACATTTCATATTAGCTTTACTAATTTAAACGTCAAAAACCCTTGGGTTCACCATCTTACACTGTTTGCTATTAACGTGAAGAACAACAACATTTAATATATATAAAACTTGCAATATAACATCATTGACAATTCAATAGAGATCTTTTGGTCTATTACTTTGGAAAACAAGCACAACGTGCAATATTGACCATGCGTCCTAGACTGACCTGACTTACTCGCAGGTACTTAAAAACACAATGCTACTACTTGTTCTAGTAAACTTTTTTTAAAATTACAAACAACTTACTTTTCCTCCATTCTTAGAAGCCATCTTGACAAGGGCGTTACATGCCATCGAAGGATCTATAGTACCATCTTCAGGGGAGTACAGCGCCATTTTGAACACTGATGGATCCAAAAGAGGGAATAACTTTTGAGCTTCGTTGGGATCTAGAATTTGACTAGGTATTCCCATAGCTTTTCCCAATGTATGTAGCCTCAGATATTCTTGTGTTCGAATCTGAAGCCAAAAATAGTAGCAATTTATTCAGACCATACATTTTTAGGGGCGGAAGTGCCAGAATTATGAGAATTAATGATAAGAGATAAGATGTTATAAATTCAGAATTATAACCATTACTCATAATAGACACAAATATTACAGAAAATAATATTAGTTACACTTGATTTTTTTTAAAGACAACTCCCGCACTAGGAATATATCTTGTGTAGCGGGGGACTTTATAAGCATTGTGTTGTGTTGTGGGTTCAAACCCCACATGGGACGACACTTTGTGTGATCCACAAATTGTTGTTCTGAGTCTGGGTGTTCTTTGTGTCCGTTTCATGTATGTTTGTAAAGTCCCCCGCGACACAGGATTTATTCCTAATGCGGGCGTTGTCTTTTTTAAAAACAAAAAAAAAAAAAAAAAAAAAAATCATGAAACGGACACAAAGAACACGCAGACTCAGAACAATAATTTTGTGGATCACACAAAGTGTTGTCCCATGCAGAAGCGGCGAGGCGAACGCTTAAACTACTACGCCATTCGTGCAGTCAAAATTTTAAAAAGAAAAAATCTTTAGAAACGTGTCTACATTCATATAGTAGGTACATTTTGCTTACCTCGCTCCTGGATATAAACATTCCACCATTGTTGATCCATCCTGCGTAGTCGCCAGTCTCCTTTTCTAAACTACTATATACCTTTCTGGAGTCTCTTAATAGCTTGACTTCTAAATCACAGGGCCTGAGCGACCAAACTAACCCTATGAATAAATAGAGTTAATATTAAAATATTCTTCTATCTTATACTTTTGCCTATAATTTTATATTTATGCTTTCGTGGTAGTAACAAATAAAATGACAATGAGTATGACCACAGCTCTAGGGACCCTTTCGAGTTGCTGGAAAAAAATACGCATGGATGACCAATAATTTACAAAACGTAAGCAGTAAAACACTGAGTAGTACCAGACAAGGCAGACTTAGCGCTAAAGGTATACAAGTACGTGGCTCCATCTATGGGTCCAATCACTCAGGGAAATGCAGCGGAGAGTTTTTGTGAACGAAACTCGCACTAAGCCCCTATTCATTTAGGTAGTTTTAAATAAGTAAATGGCACTGTACCTACTGATACTATGATTCTGTGGTAATATCCGTTAAAAGTAGCTGTCAGAAAATATCAACAACTTGAACTTGTTTCGGGGACAATGTTTATATTCATTGGAAGATTGACCCTTGTCTAGTTCACAAATCAAACCATTGATTGGGCAGACTGTAGTCAGTACTGAAGGACATCGGTATACTTAAGTAAAAAATATATGAAAAACTATCACTATTTTCATGAGGCAAACTTCTCGACAAGATTTAGCACAAGGAAAAACAATGTCAACAACTTTTTATGCAATTTTCTATATCGAAATATAAAAAAAAAGGATAAATTTAAAACTGAAATGTAGTAAAGATGTACTTTTTTTGTAACAAAAATATATAAGTAATAGTATTATAGTAGGTACCTATAATGATCTCTTATCGTAATTATTATAACCTATAAACTTATTTACCAACAGTTTTGAAATAGCAGACATTTACACACACACATATTTTTCTTCGGTTTGTTTGTTTCGGGTATAGTTAGGTAATACACAATTTAAATTGCTTCTTCATACTTATAATAATTTACATACTGATATATGTATATAATAATTCTGATAACATTGTTATAAAATGATGTTATCCATTTGCTGCGTGAAGATAGGCTATGAATGAATGAATGACTGAGAATAAATAAGCTTTTAGACCCTTTCAGGGCAACGAAGGGAAAAAAGGTAAAATTCGGCAGGGATACTCTACCTGCTGTGTGCCACGTTGTCCCACTGGTTAATTTTGCTCGTTCAAGTAGAACTGCATTCACTCCTCTTTTCGTGAGTTGATACAAAGTGTTACATCCTGCAATTCCTCCTCCTACAAAAGTAAATAAATCGATTGACGATATTCCCCAAGTGGCTCCTTTAAAATTAAAATTAGGTACCATTATCTTTTAAAATTACCCAACTCTTCTTAGCCACAAAGGAACTAATTCAATATTAGATTATGTCAGAATCAAACCAACTGAAACTTAAAAATGCCATCACGAGACGATATGAGGTGCATTTAAGAAAGGTTAGTACTGAGAACTTCGTTAGATCTGGGCTGATTACCGAACTATAAAATGAATTTTAACCTCTATTTTTCTTACTAATAACAAGTATTTAAGGTCTAGTAGAATCATGATGGAAATTGTTTTTTTGTAAGTGCATAAATAAATACCTAAATGTAATTTTGTTACGTCGTTTCTCGACGAGAGTTTTTAAGGTTTTTATACCATAACATACCTAATACCTAGAAAATAAAGAAAGGTAAATACAATTGTGGATCTAAAATTACGTTGGCTTGCAGACTAACAGAAACACATCATATCGCTGTGCTCTGACATACTCTGACCACAAAATCAGTACAGTGACCTCTAGATACACTCTTTATATAGATCACAACTAGAGAAATATTAAACCGGGGCATTCATTTAGATATATTATTATTTAGTTCAGTAATACACTCTATTACTTACCAATGATAACGACATCAGCAGAAGACACCACTTCTTGTTGAGTGGCTAACGATCTCTTCTCATATCTTAATTGTCTCAAATAATTAACAGCTTTAGTTCTTATATTCGAGTCTTTCACTACTTTAAACATTTTTAGATACTTTAAAAATAATATATATGTCTTGACTGCAGGACAGCCTATTGTTGAATGCTTACATTATATGATTCGTATATTGGAGTTATCATCTTAAGTTATCTAAGTTCAAGTACTCATTTTGTTTCGCTTATCAAGCTAAGTATGTTTTGTTTTATTCATGGCTGCTGCGCCCTATAGATCTGTCTCCATGTACCCTCACAAACATTTTATTTACGGTCAAGCTTTACAACAACTCACCGACCTCACCTACTTACCTTGCTCCCTAGCTCCGTTACCTGTCCTCTAATCACGACAGAAATCTTCGCTCAGAAAATAATCTGCTTCTCTTTTGTCCCTCCCACAACTCCGACTTCGTGAACTCTTCACGCAGTACTACTCTGGAATGCGCTCAAGCTCGAAATCAGGATGTAGACTAACCGTTTTGTATACAAAAAGAAGGTGCACGATCTCCTTTATAATAAAATGGAAGAACTACCCAGTCAATAGTACACCTTTATTTTTTTTATTATTTTTTTTCGTGCGGTAATCCCCTCGAATACCACCTATCGGTGGCATGTCGGACTCGAACCGACTAAAACCGCACGCCATCTCGGGTACTAATAGCCGGGGAACCAGGTATACCCTAGAAAGGAAGTCCCTAGTGCCCCGACATACCTCGGGCCATCTACAACAACAGGTAGACGAACCCCCCCCGTGTGGGAACCCCATGTTCCCTCTGCTCCCTGGAAGCGAGCGCGCTTCGCAACGCGCTCGCCGCCACCCCGGCAAGTCAATAGTACTCCTAATATTCCGGTATACATAGTGTACGAATATAATATTTATATTCATAAAGATATTTATATATGTATGTTTATGATATGATGGTCGTATATGTGTATGTATACGTATATGTATGTAGTGAACCGTGTATATTTTCATGGATTACATATCATAATATGTAACCTCTGTGCACCTACCATTTATGATTTCTACACCACCCATGTCTTGGGCATTAAGTCCGCTGATATACAAAAGTGCATGAAGTTTGAAATAAATAAAATAAAATAAATATGGGCCTGACTCGTCCGTAGTGATACCACGGCATCACAGAAAACTTGCGTTAAGCAGTTCTTTCGTGAGGTGCTCTTCATCGAGTGAGAGAGGTTACCGGAGCCCAAACCCTCCCTTTCCCCTGATTGTGAGAGGTGGGACTGAAAAGGCAGCAATGCACTGTTTACTATTAAGTTGCAGGTGTCCATGGGCGGCGGTAGTCACTTACTATCATGCGACCCGTCTGCTCAAACACAGTCAGAGCCGAGCCGAGTTAGCCGCGAAGTTAACCGAACGACGTACGACACTTTACGAACACAAGTTTCGGATCACTTTCACATTAATTATATAAGTTTGAAAGTATGGGTTATTTTTTAATACACGCATTACGCATGCACTTCACACAATATATCACTAACGCCCAATAAATTGATGTTGACAAAACAATCGAACGATATATTGGTATTAGATTTCCCTATGAAACAACGCGTGACAATTTGCGAGGTAAGAGGGTGGTAAGCCCCGACCACTTCACCTTTTTCCATGTATCAAATAATAGCAAGCATCGTTCTATATCTATGTTACTATTTAGTTTAGTTTAAAGATGTTACGGTCTGGAATTTTATCAAACCGAGTTGAATCGGTTAGACAATTAGTACAAATCGGTTGCCGAACCGAACCGTTGAAATTGTAGTAAACCGCGGTTTAAACCGTAAGACGAGTTGACGAACAAATGTAACATATGAAAGCAATGTGCAACATAATTCGACGGGATCGATCCAACCATCGCTTTACGGTTTGCCAACGGTTCGCAACCGAGTTTACATACAAATGTAAAACTTGACATTAAACTATATAGTGGATATAAGAAAAACAGCATTGAGATCAACAAAGATTTATATTTAAATTTACAATAAAGGAATGATAGTCTTCTTATACAAAATGTACTGTTATAACAATTTTATCATTAGCTTGTGTGTGATAGATAACTTTGTTATACTAGAACTTATTATAGTTATGTACTGGTATAGGTATACATAGTTAATCAAATCTCACACTGTTGTTTTACAATTGTAGATTGTGTCGCGTCGACTCGGTTCAAAATCATTTGGTAGATAAATCAGTTTTGTTCGGTCGATAAAGCAGGAGCCGCGAGCGTGACAGTACATCCCGTACTTAAGACCCGGCTCAACCGGTTTAAACCACGGGCTAACCGATTTAACGTTCCGATTCAAACTGAGAATGTCGAGTTTTTAGCAAATGGCTTGCTTGTCGCAGAATTATGAAAGTGTGCAATATCTTTAGACATTTCAGAGGTCATGGTGTTTGACGCTGCTAGTAGAAAAACCGACAATGTACCTCCCGTGACCCTTAGCGGTCCGACTTTATGGAGAGTTTACAGATTCAAATATCTTGGCCACATATTAACCCCTGACTTTCGGGACGACTCAGATATTGAGAGAGAACGGAGGGCGATGTAAGTAACAGCGAACATGCTGTGCACATGCTCACTTAATGTGAAAATCATACTGTTCCATGCATATGGTACTACTTTCTACACCTGCAGCCTGTAGGCTAAATTCACTCAAAAATCGTACAACTAGTACAACATCCTACACAGTGTGTGAGTACAATATAACAATGCGTTCTCTTACTTTTACGCAACGATGCGGAAGAGGTGTGCAAACCCTGGTGCGCAGGGTTCGAGCCAGCACTAACAGCATCCTACGCATGGTATCGAGTAGGCTGGATTGTAGGTATGTGAGTCGCTGCTGTGCTGTCTCTGCCGGGATTGCACAGCGGTGATCCATATACAATATATGTAAAAACAAAAAAAAACATTGTACACCTTTCTTACCCATCAAAAAAATTATGTTAATAATAATTTTAGTATGAGCCCTGGTTATTTAATTAAATAAATGATTATTATATCATTATTAAAGACATTCGCATTTCGAATTGTTCTCCCGTAATTTTGAAATAGTTTTTAACGAAAAGGTGAAACATTTCCATAGCCTAAATTTTTTATATTTCAATGTTTATTACTATCGTTTTCTGGAAAAATATTAGACACCATATGTGTTATAACAAGTTAATAAAATGTATTTAATTGTCAGGCCCAATTGACTTCGATATAAAATAAGCAATAAATTTAAGGAAAAAAATACGAACATTAACCTATACAAAAATGAAACAAAAAATTAAAATAAACATTTAATTAAGACTATATTTACAACGTTTAGAAAATCTAAAATAACTATTTTATACATATGAACATCGAGACGAATAAATTTAACTTTTGATATTTTACACTAGCTGAATGGAAAGAAGACGGTTATGGTTCTATGGCAGGCCGACAAACAAAATTCTACAATCTTTCTCTTTGTAAGAACTTTCTTCGGACATCTATGAATCGCTTTTTGCGCCATTTACCCATTATTTTCATTGATATAAATATTATTTTGTTATTATGTTGTATTGCCAAATATCAAAAGGACATTCAATAAAAAAATTACCTCATTTTGATGTAAGCTACCAAAGCATACTACAAAAGACTACAAAAGCATACTGTTAATATCACTATGTCAATATTTATATAAATTATTTACTAATGAATCTTATGAATGATATTGATTGTCATACTTATAAATAGGTATATAGATAAACGAACAAATGAATATTATTCTTAATGTATCTACACGAAAAGTGTAAACAGTTCTCGCGTCTGTGCGGCATATCTGCCGACCAGACAATAAGTTGTCACTTATTACTTTAAATACAACATTTAATATTTAGAAGTGATTGTTTCACATTGTCCCAAGTGCAAAATAAGGCAATGAACGCAAGAATAACTTTAATTACAGGATCGTGGCGTTATCAAGCAACTATCACCGACTAACATTATCGGCATTGCAGACATAAACAAAAATATCTTATATTTTAATATATTTTGTGTCAAATATTGACTTATTTATTTCTAAACATTAATGGCATATTAAAACAGTAGAGAAGTTTTGAAGAAATAAAAGTATTTAATAGATAAAATATATATTTTTTATAAATAAATGCAGCCGACACGTGCTTTTAATTGTTTTTAAGAAAAACGTTTATACATTTTTATAATATCTAACAAATAATACAGTGTTTATCACGATAAACAATAAACATGCTAAATTATCAATCTTAACAGCCCACTTATGATTGAATGTCGGTCTTCTCTTAACAAAAGGTAGGTCCTTTTAGCTGTTATGTTCCTAATTCTTATTTTTTAAACAGTGGCTTTTAAATTTATTGATGTTGTTACTATACAATAAACCAATAAAAAAGTAGGTACATTAAGTACTAGCATAATAAAGTTACTTTGATAAAGTAATTATTCCTACACTCAATGAGCTTAATTTTTTTACATGATTAGATAATCGGACAAGGATGGACCTGAATCCATAGAGGGTATAATATTTTTCGCACTGCTTTCGAGTCGAGTCTTTTACAAAGCGAGAGACCGTCCGACATCAGTGAGAGCACCTAAACGTACACAACACAACTTTCACACGTTTGGTCGAGAAATCGAATAGAATTTTCCTTTTAGAAGAACACGCTCTCGTCCTTCAAGGACATATAGTCTGTGAGTCCGTAGGTGGACAGATATATGTGTCGGTTTCATACGTGGTGTGGGCTGGCGACCCGCGGCGGCGTGAGGCCGAGGCGGTGCTGGCGCGCCGCGTGGTCGCCAGCTGCGGCCGCCGCCGCCGCCTCCAGCTGCGCGCGGAGCGCTACCAGCTCGCGGGTGCGCTGGTAGATTGGGTCCTACAACAAGCAGGAGGTTTCAAAAATATATAATATTTCGGATATTCGGACATCTAACACACCGCCATCTAGTTTCAAACTAAGCAGAGTTTTTACTATGAAAGCCAGATTGACTAATAGAATACTTATTTACTTTTTTGTACAAACATACATATTATACATAATGAACACCCAAACTCCGAAACAAATAGTTTCAGATTATACCATCGAACCCGAGACCTCAGCACGGCAATCGCATACGCCACCACTGCACCACCGAGGCAATAAATGAGAATGCATCAGGAACCTGTATTTTCTTAGGTCTTGTAAAAGTAGATCATTATTCAACATCATCAAGAAAACCAACATCACATAGATGAATTATTATCGGTAACGATAAAAAGCTGGATTTAAGTATGTTTTTACTGCAACAGGATTTATTCCTAGTGCGGGAGATGTCTTAAAAAAAAGGTATCGAGCTGATCGAGAATAAAGTTGACAAGCACTTAGGAAATCGAATAAGAAAGCAGTTATTGCTTTTACTATTCTTGTTGTTACTAATGCTAACTTAATGCTTTTAATGCCGTTCTATACTTATTTTAGACTTTCAGTAAATTGTAAACATAAATTACTTTCAATTTCTTACCGATGAAAAAATCTAAGTCGATTGTTATTTAACAATATTTAGCACTTTTTAATTAAATTTAAATTATACCTGCTGCCTCATGGTAGGATTCCATCGACAATACAGCGCCTTCCACAGCTTAATGAGCCTGAGCGATGCTACTGGGACCAAGACGACCTGAGGGCGCGAGTATGGCGAGGGCGGTGAGCTGGCCCCGAAGGAGGAAGGCCCCCAATACAGCGGATTTAGGTACAAGTCCTGGCGACTATTTATGTACGACCAGAGAGAGACAGTCTTAGTTTTTACTTCTGTAACAAAAACACATTTACAATTAAAAAAATAAATCATAATGAATCATTCTTTGTCAAGTGTGTAACTCCGAAGGATGAATCAGGATGATAAAAGAATAATAACACTTCTTTCGAAACTCGTTTCGACAAAAGAATAATGTTTCTTTTTTCTTATAAATATATAAATAAATAGAAAAATTATAAATAGAGTATTCTATTTATAATTTCTACAACGGTTATAGCTACTACAGTAGTCTCTTTTATTAACAAATAAATCACATCATTACAAAAGTGAATGAATTTCATTAAATTGTTTCTTATCCATCATAAGAGTTTAGAAGCTTATTTAAGAGTTTCAAAAGAAAAAACACTATTTTATGTTTTTTTTTTCGAAACCAGTTTCGAAAGAAGAAATATTATTCTTATTTCGAAACTTCGTTTCGTAAGCGGCCAAAAGGGTATTATAATGTGTATTTTATGAGTTTATCTGCAATCTACTCATAATTAAATGGAGAATTCATAAGTATTTGGCAACTGAGATATATAACGAGGGATAGGAACTGTGTTGTGTAAAACGATAAAAAAAAGTAAAAATGAAAACCCATCGAAAATCATAACCGGATTTATACCCAGCTAATAAATTGCCTTGGGGCAGTCACCATTACTCAATATAATAGCATACGATGCGTTGCTGTGAGTCACTTTAAAAGTATTAAATTATTATTTAAGTAGTTAATTTTCTCCTGTTTTTGTTTTTATAAACGACTAATTTTGTATGTTATATTGATTTCTGGGTACTCTGTAGCTTTGAGATTTTATATTTTTCACTGTGACCTCAGCCATATATTTAAGAATAAAGTCGCCTGCAACATAACTTTTAATTCTGATGTTAACAATTATATAATAGAAACTTTAAAATTGAATAGTTTTCAAATAAAGAAGAAATATTTTTGTGCCTGTAAAATATTAAGTATTAAGTGCGATAAGGCCGGGTGTACAATAAAGAGTGTTATTATTATTAATATAGAATAGTGTCAAAAATCTTTAGTTTGAAAATCTGGATCTACCTATGGGCTTTTTGGCTGCAGACCAGGGCCCCATGGATATAAAGAGTGACCTTTTATATCCACTCTCTCAGTCTCCATTAAAAACAATAAACCGGGTCATTTGAATTCACAAATTGGTCAAATTAATAACTCTAATTAACTGTTACGTGTATTCCCCCGACACATCTTGTATTTGAAATTCGAATATAATAATACTATACACTATGACAAATTTTGTATAGTATTAGTATAGTGTATAGTATTCTACTAGTTAGGCCCTTTTATTTGATACCCATATTGAGGGAGTTGTGAAAAAATACGTAATCTGCCATTTTGTGGTGGCGGCCATCTTGGACCGATTTTCATCAAACATAGCTAAGAACACTCCGACTAATTCACCTTTCAAACAAACAAAACAGAATCAAAATCGGTTGACCCGTTCGGGAGCTACGATGCCACAGACAGACACAGACACGTCAAACTTATAACACCCCGTCGTTTAGGCGTCAGGGGTTAAAATGTCTTGTAAGGTGCGATTTCAACTTACCCTCCTTAACTCTTTCCCTTTCCGTGTTGAAGAGGAATGTACCAAATCTACACGAGTACAAGTGATCAACTATAGTGATGAGCAGTCTCTCTGTGAACTCGAAGGCTGTAGGGAACTGTTGTTGTAATTGCCACACGCAGTCCACCCATTGTACGAAGACAGGAGAACGATCCGCGTCAGAGTGTCGCTCGTCACCGTGACCGATACGCTAAAATGAAACATGATAGGCATGAGTAAAGAAAGTCTTAATAGTAGTATTCTTATGAACATATAAAAATTAAGGTACGAGAAAATGCTTGTGTTAGTAGGTTCTTTTTGCTCAATAACCTGTAAATAACAATAATTTTCGATGCACTAATGGTGTAGTGGTTTAAGTGGTCACTACGCCGCTTCCTACTGCGTTGAGTGTTGTGGGTTCGATCCCCACATGGGACAACACTTTGTGTGATCCACAAATTGTTGTTCTGGGTCTGGGTATTTTTTGTGTCTGTTACATGTATGTTTGTAAAGTCTCCCGCGACACAGGAATATATTCCTAATGTAAAATAGTAAAATTGGATGTTGTGTTGTGCAAATGGATGTTCTGTATAAGTGTGTTAAGTGTGACTGAACAGTTTCAATATAGGTATAATATAGCTCACATCACATGAATTATTCTGATGATAGTACAAGAGAAAAAAAACTAAAGGCTTTTGAACAAAAAGTTGAACTGAGAAATACCGAAACGGAACAACGAACAAACCAAACGCCTACCAACACTTTACATTGGTTTATAATGCTTGTTGATTTAGCGACGTTTGTTAAAAATCATCATCATAAACTTATCACCGTCCACTGCATAACGAAGGCCTTCCCAAGGAGTGCCAACTATCCCAGTCTTTGGCAGTCCGCCTCCAACTGCTACCAACCGCTTAGAAATGGCTCTCCGTAATAACAGGCATTGCAGCTATTAGCCTCCAGTTGGCAACGAGATTTCTTAGCCAAGCACCTTGGTTAAACACCTCTATGTAATAATTTACGATAAATACAATTAATTAATAAATAAATAAGTTATTATATTATTATGGCCTACCAATTGGAATTTATGTCCGAAGGACAGCCACTCTTTCTCGATAAGTACTTCGAATCCTCTGAGTGTTCTGTAGTAGGGATCAAGCATCAACATCGCCAAGGCGGTAAGTTGCGCCGTACGATCCCACCCGTCTGAGCAGTGGACCAACACTGAGGTTTTATGATTCTCCACCTACAAATACAAATATTTAAGAAACTTAAGGTAATAGAGTATTTTACTCTATATGAGAATAAATCTAAAATATATTATTGAGATAGCTTAGGCAAAAAAACAGACGTCAAATGTTACTATTAGTTAATAACATAATAAAAAAATGACAGTACCTTGTCAACGATTCGTACAGCTCCAGCCAGAATGCACTTGATATGTTTCAGCCAACAGGTAGCTTCAATACCACTGAACCATCTGGAATAAAAGCAAAACCTCTGAATATTTATGTATTATTTATAGTAGACAGACTATGCTAAGGTATAATTTTAAAAAGCATTACTTAAAATTAAAAGCACTCAATGCTTGGTAATTATTATATCTAACTAGCATAACTAATCATTGGACCAACTGGCCCGTCGATGTAGGAAAGTGGTAGGTATGTGTAAACACTAGTAATTCATCATCATCAATTACATTTTTCCCGACCAAGAGTAGAGATGAGTATATATTTTCAAACCTATAATATGAATGGAATATAAAGGTGGAGGACGGATTATAAAGATACTGTTGGTTAATCGTGAAGTCTAGACTAAATTAACACAGTTGTGTTTGTGTACAGTACTATGGAAGTCTGTTAAATCTTGGGTTATTTAAATACATTATAAATAAACTATAAAGTTATTTCAAACATTTTATAAAAACATGTCGGTCATTCACCTGGTCTGGTCTATTTGAGGGAAGCAGAGTTCTTTGAGTTTTCGCAGACTTTCCCTCATCACGTGAATGTTGTGTATATCCAGGAAGACAAGGTCGGCGTTCTGGTATGCATCTTCTGACTCATATCTGTAAAACATATGAATGTTTACTTAATATTACAGGCAAACAGTATTAATAGCTTGTATTGTACATCCGTAGGATCACGTTGTTTTATAATCTTTCTTGTTTCTTTTATTTAATAAGACAACTCCCGCACTAGGAATATAACTTGTGTCGCAGGGGACTTTACAAACATACTTGAAACGGACAAAAAGAATACCCAAACTCAGAACAACAATTTGTAGTTCACACAAAGTGTTGTCCTATGTGGTAATGGAAACTACAACACTTAGCGCATTAGGAAGCGGCGAGGTGAGCGCTTAAACCACTACGCCATCCGTGCAGTCATGCCTAATACATCTTATAGATTTATAAATGTTAAATGCGCTAATCTCTGAAATGATTATTATTCTTGAAAAAGATTGGGCTATTTCATATCACACTACAATTCTTAGTAGCGGAGTTGCGATCTTAAAAACGGGTGAAACTTTAGACAGAACTGGAGGCTAATAATATAATAATTTACCCTCCTCCTTTGGCTTTATTGGCTACTGCATTAGCAGTAGGTCTAGCATCCATGATGAACAGTTTGTGCGCTTGTGCATTAGCGTCCATTATGAGTTGAATATAGCGTTCGTCTTCGCGACTGCGTTTACCGCTGACCTAGAAACAAAAGAAAAAAGCTATGTTTTTACTATCCCAATTAAGTACCAATTTATTTTTTATTTAAAACTTCCTGCATTTACATTGCACAATGCGGACTTAATACCACATGGGATTTACACATTTGGGATGTATACAAATCGAAAAAGTTGTAAAACAATTATACCTTTAAATATATCAAAGTGACAGCGAGGCAAATAGTCTCATTTACTACTACTAAAAGGACATCATTCAAAATGTACCCAAAAATTAAAGTGCCGGCCAGTAAAAAAAAGCTGTGTCATCTTACGGCAAATGATCTTTTAAACATTTTTTATTATTACAACAGTCGTCTACGACCAACTTTTAGACCAAAAATGGATCTCCGACCTACCTACACATAAATACCTACGTAGGTACTTAGGTACCTAATGATGATTGTATATAACTAGGCTTTTTGTCATATTATATTATTATTAAGCGAGATTAAGTTATTCTTTATTATCATTATTTGATTTTTGCTATAGTAATGAAGTAAAAATTGTTCAGACGAACTCGTATAAATGCATTTTTTTATTATTTCTAAGTCATATAACTCATAAGTAATAAGGTCTTAGCTCTTAGCCGTCTAAAGAAAAAAAATCTTAGAATGTCATTCTCTAACCGATAAAACCATTTTTTTTCGTTGGCCGGCACTTTTTTTGGGTACTTTTTTGTATGGAGCGTGAATGATGTCCTTTAAACAACAAATCAAACCTTTAATAAAGCATTTATTTCATGTGTTCTTTTCTAAACATGTCTACTGTGAAAGACAATATTTAGTTTTAGACTGCCCGATATTTCCAGCTTTAATCAAGACTCGTGTATATAGGTGTTATTCTACAAAATATCAATTCACTATTTTTTTGTCATCATCAAGATTTTAGAACTTCCTCAAGAACAGGTACATGCTTTTACTCGGGTATTCTAGATTGAATTTGAGTCACAATAAGGCTAACCTATTTTTGAATTACGTCTTAGCCTTAGAGTAATAACTAACAAGGGTATAGAAATGCAGTGACATCGAAAATTCATTGTAAACTGACCTACAAACGGTAGGTACAGGATTCCCAGTAAGAAACTTGCGGGAATTATAAATGTTACAGTAGATCGTTAGCAAAACATTACGTCAATGATGAATAAGAAAGGAACTAACGACTGGTTGACGCATGATTACTCACTTCGTAACAATTAAAGACTTCATGCCAAAGCGGAAAAAAACATGCGGATTTTTTTAAGGTGATTGATATTACTCGTAGGTAGGTAGGTATAATTTTTGTTTAATTGCTGTGTACCTGATTGCGTAAAACATCTCTACTATTCAATTAACAACGCTATGTTGTTTATAACACATTTTAATAACAGTTTACTATCTTCGCTACCATTGCGTACGATATATACATACTGATAAGCGCAAAAGATAAATGTCGAAATGGAATACGAGTAATATTTCACCGACATGTACGTATATTTGTATGTCAGCTAATGGATGTCATACTAATTAATATTATGAATGCAATAAGGGAGTTTGGTTTGTTTCTTACGTTTTCACGCTATAACTACTAAACCGATCATCGTGAAACTTGTACCTATTACGAGTAGAGTTAAAGAAAAGAACGTAGGGAATTTGAGCAACAGCCAGTTTAAACGATCACTACAACTCTCACTCACGTGTTTGTTTCGAAAATGCCCGACTAGCTCCGGAACCTACGGGGGACCCTTTGGTAACTAGGACTATAGCAACCTGCTACGATGGTTCCGGTGTCACACACGGAGTGTGAAGTCGGGTATCGGAAATGTTGGGCATCCCCAGAAAACACGTGAGTAATAACGTTTATCCTTCACAAAGTTTTTAAGATTTCATTGTTATAAATATATAAATGTAAAAAAATTTAAAGCGCATTTTTTTTTGTTTCTTATGGAAGGTGGGGCAAACGAGCAGGCTGGTCACCTGATGGAAAGTGACTCCCGCCTCCCATTAGCCTACGCCTGGTATTAGTCCTAACAATTCCTCGGAGCACTCTCCTTGAACAAGATTTGGTGGTATGGTATCTTCTTTGCAGTGAACGTGTGTGTGTGTCTTTTTTGGGTTGAACTGGACTAGATTTATTTGTTTCCTCGTTATAAATAAATGCATTAAAATGATACTATCTTATTAATGCGTAGGTATAAAGGTTTTATAATACTCGTAATTTAAACTTCCATTGGTGGTTATTATTAGGATGTAAATGGATTAGGAGGCATTGTCATGGACGTGTGCAATTGCACAACTAGAACAAATACAATTCATTTTGACAGGAAAGCAGCGATCACGCGAATATACTAAATATTACGTAAATAATACGAAAGTTACAGCAACTAAGACTATATATTTAGATGGTATATCATCAGATATACGATCGATACATCCTAAGCGTGCACATTCAGTGCTGTGCGAAATAAAACAACGCATTTCATGATATTTTGGGGATTCTGACTTGAGTGACGTAAGAATTAATGAATCAACATGCGCTCTCAAGAAAGGTCGTAATATGATACCTAACTGCGTGTTTATTGAGTACAGTAAAACTGAACCAAAATTTGTGAAGTAAACATTGACATCGAGAATATTATAAACGATATTATATTATTTCTCTATTATTATTTATTTTTATTCAAATTCTATATATATTTCTAACTGATTATAGTGAAATAATAATAAGGTTATTAAATACGATCTATCGTTGTGGGCTATCTTTATCTAAGTACACAAAACTTATACTGCAACTGTTCTTTATTACATGTAACAGATTTAAAAAAAAACACTTCATTGTAGTTCTTTCTGTGTTCTGTGTATAAATATTAAAAGAAATTAATGATTCTTTTTAATAGTCTTTTTGTAAATAAATAGTAATTTTTTAAAATTTATATATATTTTTTGTATCCTGATCCCAAACAAGGCAGAGCCTGTGCTATGGTAACCAGTCTGCTAATTTACATACTAATATATTTTTAAATCCTGGGTGGGAATCAAACCTGCGACCTTCGGCTTAACAGTCAGGGTCACTAACCACTAGAACAACAGGCCCGTTGGTAGGTAAAATGTAGTTAATACCAGAAATTGGCACAACCTTATGCAGAGATTTTCTTTCTAGGGCTGCTACTTTGACATTGCTCAGCTGGCATCTATTCAAACTAGTTTTTGATTTATCTGATAAGACTTTGTTCCGTTTTGATAATAGTAGAGATGATGGAAAAAAATAACTCTTACCCCAACCAAAGGCTGACTGCACCTGGTTATTGTAGCCTGTGAGCTAGGATGTATCCATGCCAAAACTGGTATCCTTCCTCTTGATCTGAAGCTGGCCACAGCACGAAGTAAGTCATCATTAGCAGCCGCTGGTACAGCCCATATTGAAGGATAGCTATCGCAGACCTCATATTTGTCATTGATTCGTGTGATACGCCACATATCATTGTTCACACCCTATAATTGGTTAGAATTATTTTGATTATTGGTTTTATAATTATAGTACATTATACTAAGTTTATTACTAAAATTATCTAAGGCATAAAATGTATGTTATGGCACTGATTTTTTTTTTTTAAACACTCAGTTCAGATGTCCTAACTTTGAGGGCAAGCTTAACAAGCTTAGGACTTATCAGTTTCTAATTTTCAATGTCTTTTTTATCAGCTAAGTTTTTTGCATCACTTTTTCTACAAAAAAAATCTATTATTACCCAATTGTGTACAGATGTCATTCATTCGTTAAAATAAAAATTGTGATTTAATTGCTTACATGATAACTATATAATGCAATACAAATAAATAAAACTAAAACATGGAATTAAAAACAAAATCAAAATTCAATGTGTACAATTTTGTCAAAATTGTGGATAGGTACTTTGAAGTTGTCTCTGGGTTAAGAAATGGACTAGTTTATTATGTAATATACCAATATGAATTTGGATTAGACTCAGTGAGGCTCAAGTTATGAAAGTTGCAAGTTTTTGCACATCAATGAATAGACCACTCATTCAGTGCCCAAATCCACCACAGAATAATAACACTTTTCTAGCAGTAATTCCTTTAATCGGGATTTAAGCATGTGTGTGTATACTATCTCTTTAAGATAGATGGGTAATCTATTAAATTGTTCGACCGACCTATATCTGGTGCAATGCATGACTATATTCAGTTTAGGTACTGTTTTATATTTTAAAGCTTTTCTCCGTTATAGTATAATATCAACCATAAACGTTATAGTATAGTATGGTATGCAATAGTTTCCAAGAAGTATAGTTCTCTATACGAGTTTTTATCATTGTTTTCATTTTAGTTATTCTGTTTCTGTTTATCAACCATAAACTATTTTTGGGTCAAAAGAGTGTTTTTTTAGTAGGGTGAATAACTACATCCTTTTAGCTTTGTTAGTAACCAAAAACAAGAGAACTTAAAAAGATTGCAGTTATACTTGATAATTAGATAACTTTATGTTGCCATTTTAATGTAAGGTCATACCATTCTTCGGAGTTCAGCAATAGGTTCATACACATGCCAGCCATCTTCGGGGAAGCTCTCAGAATAACTGAATGCAAATAGTGGGAATCTATGTGATAGTGGAAAGGCTAACTGTTGTAATTTTTCAAATATGCCACGACGTGAGTGATTTTCCTGTTTATGTGCAAATCGCAAATTTCGCATATCCTGAAAAACAAATAAAAATATTAAAAACAATAAAACATGTAATAATAATAACATACGAAAGTCATAGAAGACCATGGTTTTCAACACTTTCATACCTTACAAAATATTTCAATGCCATAAGAGTTTTCTCCTTTTGATGATGCTCCACCTACCTTCTCTATTCGAGAAACCTAAAGATAAAAAATTCTATTTACATTTCTTTATGCACACACCTAAAATAAATAACAGTGATTTACAAGTCTTCTTTTAATGATATTACTTTTAAAAGCAAAATCAAAAAGATTACATAAAATTTTGTTTATACATTTTTTTTACAGTAAATAAATTGCTAGTAAGCTACAAAAAATCACAACTTACAACACCCAGGGGCACACTGAGAGTACCCTGTGATGGAACTGCATCTGTAGGTCTGAAATGTAGCTGATAATTGGTCACTTTCAGCACACCCCGGGAAGGGCCACTGTAAGGGCAAAGATATGTCACATCTCGAGCAACACTTGTAACTTTCTCTCCATCCAGTAAATAGATGTCACCCAGCACATGAGGCTAAAAAAAAAGAAATAGTATCATAGCCTGTACAAAGTAACTTTACTTCATGGGTATTTGAGAAGTGGGCTTAATGTAAAAGCAAAGTCAGTCACATACACAACTATTTAAGTTAGACTGTGATAACTTAAAAATCTTTTGCAATAATCATATACCAGCCTTGAATAGTTCCTGTTGTTGCCTATGATTATGGATACAATTGACAAATAAGCAAATGTGAATTCTATTGCTTCTGCTCATTGTTATATAGATTTCAACACAGCAGCAGCAACACAGCTTCGAAAGTTCCTTAGCGACCGAACAAGAGTGACTAATCGCATGCTTAAACTTTACTACAGGAAGCCATGAGTCCTATATCGTAAATTCAATAAGAATAAATTAATCCTTTTAGGAAACTTACGGAATCTTGTCCGTGTTTAGAATTCAATGAACTCGATTTTGAGTCCGAGTCCAACGAATCGGAACTGGCATTCTTTGATAATGAAAAATCAGAACTTAACAACTCTGAACTGTTATGTTTATCCATTGTTTGTGCACCTAATACAAGAATATATGTTTGTTCTGGAAACAGGACCTGTTCCTATTCAATACAAATTTGTTTAATTAAAATATGAATACGACTGACAGATCTTGTATCACTATCAGTCAGTCACAATCAGTCATTCTTATACGTTTCGTTCTACACACGACAAAATATTATTTAAATATACAATATTCAATGCAATGTGAAATTAACTTTATATGGTAGGATACCTTGTAACAACTAGAAAAGGTGTAAAGGTGTAAAAGTGAAATTACACTTCATAATAATACGATACCAAAAAAATGACATCGTTTTATTACTATTTAGGAATAATATTAAAAAAAAAACGAGAAATTATACCTGTGCTGCTAATCTAAATCATAATTCCCCTACCGTTTTTAGTACTATCTATGGACATTTGCTTCTGCATTATAAACCCAATTTCAACAAATTAACTTGTTAACCCCTAAAGTATCAACTAAACATGGTAACTATGGTTGCAGCGTTCGTAACTAAGACTACGGCTATTAATTCAGTTTTAAATCATTTAACGTAAGTCTTGTATAAATTTTACTTTAAGTATGAAGTTTCCAGTAGGTGTGAAATATAGCACTTACCTAGCTTATAAGCAAAATGTAGACTTAGAACCAAATAGAAAAATAAAGTCAGAAGACTTTCAGTGGGATTCTAGAATACCAAAATCACTAATATCTCTTTGTATAGAAAAACTAGCGGAAAATTGGATGGGTTAGTAAACTAATGGCAGCGATATAATATTTTGTACTTGAAGTATAATTAAATATTTTCTTTCAGGTTATCCCAAATTAGAGGCTTTAATTGCAAAAGATCGTGAACTATTTCTTCAAATACTGGGCACAGACGTTCCCCTTCAAATTTTAGTAGATAACATCAAAAGTGATATATTTTGGAAAAGATGCTACGAAACAAAATTTTCAGATTCTCCTCTTTTAGATCGTGACAAAAAATGGATTAATGTATTTATGGAACGACACTTTGCTGATATATTAGAAAATATAAATCCACGACACTATGATCCTGAAAAAGTAACATTACGAGAAAACAGTAATTCACAAATATTTATTTTAAAATGTATTCTTACTTGCTCTTATTAAATTGTTTCAGATTACGACTTTAGTAAAGCTTTGCGGTCCGTATATACAAACATTATCAATTCGTAGTTTAGTACCTACAGATATTCCAGTTCAAAGAATGGCGTCTCCAGAAATGGCACACTTAGTTACAAGTCAGCCACTTGATGGTAAATTACACTCAAAAGATAGTGAAGTTCTTTTAAGAGGTAAGGCCAACATCTACTAATTATTTTTTTCAGAAACGTGTCCACGTTCTGCATCTTTTCATTGAATTGTATTACAATAATGCTATTTTTAGATCATATTTCTCTGCACGCGGCTTTAGGAAGTCTAACCAACTTAACTGAATTGCATCTTACTTTTCAACTACGTTCAATTGGAGTAGAATACCGAAGAGATCAGTTCCAGTTTACTAATAATGATGCAAAAACGTTAGCTCGTGGATTAGAAAAGTGTGCGCAATTAAAAGTTTTGAGGTAATAGTGTACGTTAAATAGTCACTAGTACTGCGTTGTTCTAATTTCTCACTAATTTCATTTATTTAACTCAGGCTTACAAGAAGTGACATGAACTGTCAAAGGGTGAAATATATACTTCGAGGGCTATCTGATAATAGTAACTTAGAAATGCTAGATTTCAGTCATTGCAAAATCGGTGATGAAGGTGCATCATCAATTGCCAAGTTTATTATGAGACGAGACATTTTACGAAATCTTATTTTAGCAGACAATATTTTTGGTAAGTAGACCAATTATCCGAAAAAAATAATGTTGGAGACATGTCTGCTCTTTTTCAAATGTTCTGGTTTAATTAGGGACCATTGGCATAGAAAGCATATCACATGCACTCAATCATTCCGGATGCGGAGTACGTATTTTAGACTTAAGGCTAAATACAAAACTTGGATCCGAAGGTATTGCACATGTAGCGGTAGCTGTAGCGAGAGGATGTAATCTTACTAGGTAAGCTCTACCTAATATCAACTGTATTTTTAACTGTCTGAGCTACCGATAATCAGTGAAATGTAAATTATGTTATAGTTTAAATATATCAGGCTGTGGAATAATGCCAGGACCTTTGGGTAAACCACCTGCTGGAGTATGGTCTGCTACAAGTGCAGAAAATCCTCCAACTTGCGGAGATTTACTAGCACGTGCTATTGGATTAGTCAAAACTCCTTTACGGACTCTTGATCTCAGTGTTAACAATATTGGTTCTGTGAGTATGTCACTAGATATAAAAGATTCGTTACTGTGTATATGTGGGATTACAATTATTATTATTTTTTGTTACAGCCTAGTGATATTACCTTATCAAATGCAATATGTTTAAGTTACATCGTAGACCTCAATTTAAAGAGGTCAGGTATGGGTTCTGTGGCAGTAGCAATCGCGGAGTCAGCAGCGGCAGCCCAAAGATTGAGACGAGAGGCTGAAAAGGGAATGAAGTTTAGAAGAAGTGCTGGAAGACTTGTACAAGCGCGAAGAGTAGCAAAAGGGATGAACATTGGTAATAATTAGTATTTAACGAGTAACTTGTCAATATTTTGAAATAATATTGAAAATGAAGTTGTATCTGAGGTTATTTTACATGTGTGTTTAATTCTATTGTCTGATTTAAGATGCTGATACAATATTACTAGCTCAGCAATTATCCGCCCGACCGTCAATCGTTTCTGTTGCATCTGAAGAGGGAACATATAACGTACAAATGCAACCCCTCCCATCAGATTTTGGTTTTATTCCAGCCTTAAAGGTAAATAGATTAAATATATATATATATAATGTGTTAAATACTGTTTTTATTACAAAAACTTATATTTATTTTATAGGCTCCACTGTCGCGGGATTCATCTATTACCGGACCTCCAACATCTAGAAGATCAAGTCATCATTCTATTTTGGAGCCTGTTAAGGTTATTTGAAACTTACGCTAAAATGTTTTGTATTTAATAACATTTTAATGTACAGCAAAATCTTATTTTTTTTTTAATTTACAGGAAGTCAGACGAACAGCACTTGTACGTCGTGGATCAGACGGTTCTTTATTACAACCTCGAAGCACCGGCAACTCTCAAAAACGTATTAAAATATTTGTGTCATAATTGTATTTTTTATTGAATATATTTACGTTTAAAGAACAACAGTTTTTATTTTCCCTCAATTAAATGATCAGCTTTTTAATTGGCAACATAATGGTCTATAGACAACCTGATAACGAGCTTTTTACTTTTCTAACTTCCGTCCGTCACTCGATCAGTGCAGTGTGTAATGTAGCCAGTGTAGTTGCGAAATGTCATGTCAGTCAGCCATGTTTATTTCTGTAGAATGTGTTTTGAAATGGTGGTAGTGATAAAAAACAACTTAATAAGTGGTATTGTTTTTGAATTTTAATTTGTTAACAACTGTAGTGTTTTAGTGAAGCTTCAATGTGTTTTATGTGTAAGTGAGGATTCTATTGCCGTGAAAATGAATTGGGGAATTGAGCTTTGGGTAAGTGTCTACAACGTATGATTCCGTGTCGGTTGTCTCGCGAATTGTAAACCGTATAGTTTGTTGTTATAGGTAAATATATACATTGAAAATCGTCACAAGGAGTGAAATTGTCTTTTGCAGTATTTATAGAGGCTATATGTATGTAATAAATATACAAATGTAAATGAAGATCTTGTAGAAAGTAAATGATTTTTATTTAAGTAATATAAATTTCTTTTTTATAAAGTATCTAAGTTTGATTTCAGTTAATGATTACTCTTAATGTGTTATTTTTAAACCATACAAACAAAACTAATTAAATAAATGTATGTTAAATATTTGATTTATACATTAAAATTTTGTACACAAGTAAAAATTTATTAATTTAATTATTTTATTATTATATGGGCAAGCCGATTTAATACTCCTACAGCTTCATTTTTGAATTCTTAACAAAGATTATAAAAGTTACTAGTTATTTAAAGTCTGTTTTGCAATGAACCATCACTAACTAATATGTGATATTATTACTTTTTACAGTTGTATGAAGTGGCAATGAAACCATGTGAGAAGATGTGATTCTTTTATGTCTATAGTGATAGAGTTTTGGTTGTAGTACAAACTAATGTATTGCATTTTGTTTATTAAAGTCATGTTGAAAGGACCCAATCTATATCTGTTTCACATTAGAACATCTGATATGTATCAATTGTAGATTAATTTTAAAGTTTTAATCAGTTGCAATTAAAAACTTATATTAAAACGATTAAATAATTCTTCAAACTTTCACAAATATAAAAAACAAGAAAAAAATATATTATTATTCATGTACTCTATTTATAACATATTTTCCCCATAATGGAGTATTTATTGCTGAACTATTGAATGAAATCCTTGCAAAAAGGTGAAGAAGAGACAGTTTTGACTTATTAACTTAAACTTACATAAACTGTTCAGTTACTTATTAAATTATCTTGATACCTTATTATGTTGAAATGACTTGATGTTACTATATTGTTCATTACATAGTTATAATAAAGACTATATTTAATTATAATTTAATTATGAGACTGGGTTTTTTACACCCTGTAACTACCTATATTTAATTACATCCATGTCTTTTGTTATCTAAGTAAGTCTAACTTGATAAATACTATTAACAAATTACATAATTAGCTAGTTTGAGTCATGTCCTAATGAGCCTCAAATATTTCATAAGTTTGATAGTAGGTATAGAAAAAAATGACTTATGATCAGTACACATATCCTCAAATTTGTTCCTCTTATGTTCTGTTTCAACATTATAATGCCTATTATAAATTGTATTTAAAAACTTCCTTGTGCACTTTAATCCATATTTTTGCCAAGGTGGGTGTGGTCTCTAACACTCAGTCATTTTGGATAGCATTTTGAGTTTTATGGAAACTGAGTACTGGAATTTGTTGGGGCCAAATCTTGTAAACTTGATTGAAGCAATGAACAAGTGGCTAGGAGGTCTGTGTGTCACAAGAAGGGAAGCTCATCAGCAAACCCTCTTATCAGAGCTATTGCTCACCTCAAAGCAGACGTATTCATCTTGAGTGGTTGGGTTTGCCATGTCATTATATATTATAAATGTGAAAGTGTGTTTGTCTGTCTATCTGTCTGTTACCTCTTCATGCTTGAACCACTGAACCAATTTAGATGAAAGTTGGTATAGAGATAGTTTGAGTCCCAAGGAAGGACATGGGATAGCTTTAATTCAGAAATCATCCTTTAAGAAGGGTGAAAAGGGGGATGGTAGTTTCTATGGGGAACCAATAACCACTGATCCAATTTACCTATATGAAATTTGGAGATGGTTAGATTTTTGAGAAAGGACATAGGCAATTTTTTACTGCAATAACCAATATAAACATGCGGGCGTAACCAGGGTCAAAAGCTATTATGGTAGAAGCTGGTAAATTATACCTATCATTAAAATAATAAATATTATCATTAATCATAAATATCATATAAATATTACTTAAAATATGTAATAAAATTTATCTTGATATAGGTATAACTTTTATTGTGAGTCAGTGTTAGTATTTATTACACTATGATAAGTATAAAACTTTTAAGGAACCCATGAAACAATAATAAGTCTTACTATAAAATTAATAATATTTGTACCAACCGATATTAGATAACTGTCTTAAAATTTATACTATTTACTTATATTAATTTAAATTTTTGTAAAATTTACAGTCAGATTTTTTTGGTATTAAAGAAAAAATATATTTAATTATTTTGCTTTCATTTTGTCTGCATTATTTAAATACTCATTATTCTGATAGTAATTTTAAATATTATTTAACTACTCAGCTTCGCACGGGTACATTATATATACTACTAATACTACAAAAGTGGTGTCATTGTGGAGTAATTTTGTTTTTTTTAACCACTCCGTGCCTTTTTGTAGATCTTTTAAAGGAATTCAATTTACATACATACACATTTAGATCATACATTATTTTGATCTATCTTGTAAGGTTTAGCCAGTATTTGCAGTGAAAGAGCACAAAAACATGTTTTTACGACTTCACATTACAAATCATTGAAATTCCTCGGATTTTCTCTACTATAATATGCATGTATTATGTAAACATATGAACCTGCCTCTTGAATCACACTCTTAATTGGTGAAAAATGTGAAAACTGCATTAAATTGAGTTGCATAGTTTGAAAAATCTAAGAGAACAAGAAAAAAATGCCACTTCATTTTATACTATGTAAAGTTAAATTATAATACAAAATCTTAGTCCAGATTTTGCTGTAAGTTTCCATGTTTTCTCAATTTTAATAGTAGTATATCTCTTTGTTACTAAAATCGAAAACCAAATGGAATATTATGTATAGACATGCTAAATGTGCAATTTTTATGGAATAGAGGCCAAATAAGTGGACAGGGGGAGCCTGTCCACTTACTGTCCACTGTATAGTAAGTGACCCCTACCGCTCACGGGCAAGCGTTGTCCGTTGTTTCGCTGGCAACGCACTTGTTCACCTTTTTTTTGGTTCTTTTTTTTCTGTGCGAAAATCCCCCCGGATACCACCCGTGGTGTGGTTATGTCGGCCTCGAACCGACCAATTGCCCTAGAAACTAAATCGCTAATACCCCGACGTACCTCGGGCCATCTACGGCGTGTAGATGACCCCCTCCTGTGTGGGAACCCCCATGATCCCTTTATGCTCCCGGCTTGCTTCTGCTAGGGTGACAGAGGCCTGACCTGCCACCCCAGGACTGCGCTCGACCTCCGACGCCTGAGTCGTCTGCGGTACCTGGCCTGTTCCCGGGTCTGGCGAGCCGGGAGAGTTCTAAACCTGTCGCGGTCCCGCTCCGCCATCTCATCGCTCAGTATCATGGCGGCAATCTTGTTACCGAGCGAGAGAATTCCCACTCCGATGGCCGCCACCGCACTTGTGCACCTGCAACTCATGAGTCAGAAGTGCGTTGACGCCGAAGCAACGAAAACATTGCTTAACACTGATTTTATGTGAGGCCGTGGTATAACTCCGATCGAGCCGTGCCAAATATTATGCTAAAGCATCTCTGCTGTGGGAGACAGCAGTTTTAGTAGTGCTCATTGTATTAAAAATGTCTTTGAGTTTTACTTTACTGTCACTTAGGAGCATTAGGTACACAACTTTATAGGAAGTGCTGTGTAGACATAGCACAGGTATAGTAAATAAATACAGTACTGATATGGCAAGGAGACTTTAAAAATAATACTTACCCATCAATATTCTCAATATGACTTTATAAATAAATAAATTACATAAAACTTGGTTTACTATTTTATATTCAAGTATATTTGATCTAGTAATATTTATTCTCTTGAGATTTAATAAATTATTTTTACATAGGTAGGTACTTGATGATAGTGTGTACTAGGAAAACATCAATACTTTTAGTCTATGAAACACAATTTGATTCAATTGTACCATATTAAAGATATGTCCTTGACAAAAGAGGTACGCATTATCTGATGGTATATTTATCTGAATAGTGTGCTCTTAGTACCTAAACACTGGCGGGGTTCAATGATATGAGTCCATTTAAAAATCTATTCATAATCTATCAAAATAAATAGGTACAGGGCATTCCTAAGACTTGAGAATGATTTAACTTTTTAGACTCACTAAATAGTAAAGATTGACGAAAGGTTCATCGTCCTCCATACACGCACAGAGGCGCTATATGTCGCTGATACTGTTTCTATTTGGATCTATAAGTGTGCGAGTGGTCAGTGTTGGCAAGCTGCAAGGCCGTTGGCTGCCCGCATTCCGCTCGACTTGCTGTCTAGTTGTGAAATGGTCCATTCGTTGCTGACTTTTCATTATATACCTAGATGAACTCTTGATGTAAAATTATCACTTAGTAGTAGTAGTAGAAAAGAGATCTGCGTTTCGGTATACGGTTGTGAAATAAAAATGCATAAAACCAGTCACCTTGCAAGGTTGTGTTAATTAGGCAGTAATCATTTTATAATCTACAATTTTTTTAGTTCTTTCTTGGAAGAGAAAGTGTAGTATACTAAAATGTTTCGAAGCCGTGTTATTAAGCTAAAATTTTACAAATCGTGGTTTTATTAAATAGTCAAAAATGAGAAAAAAAAGCACGGAAAACGGTTAGTATTTGACAAAAGTACCTATACAATTCAATTACGACGAGTGTCCCTGAACTAGTTTGCTAAGCGTTTTGTAACACGACCTAGATATTGGCCAGTGAGACAAAAGCGTAAGTACAGCATGAGTGTCAAGTAAGGCTAAATACAAATAAAACCAATATTTTATTCTGCTACCACTAATCGTTAAGTTTTCACATCACGCTATTCAAAACGATCTTATACTTTTTCGCAAAAAAATGTTTAGAAGGCCAATTCTCGTAATAAAAGTTCGGCCTCAAGTCAGTTCCGATTAACTTTCGATCTCACAACTGTCATAAAAGGTATTTTTGTAGTAAAGTATTAAACATTCAACGCTATAATTTGATT